GTCTTGTACACAATATCTGTTTTTATTCTGAGTGCCTTCTCCATTGGAGCACTACTCATAATATTTTATGGATAGCATACATATATGTATCTTCTGAAGAAAAAAGACCTTCCAGAGTCTAACATTTTTGAAAAATCGAAATTTTTGTTAATTTTCGTGTTGGAACAAATGGGAAAGTTGTCTCCCACTACATGTACATCATAGGAACATTACAGATTCAGCCAATTTTAAGAGCCCATGCCCATGATAGGGATTATGACCTTCAAACATTCATAACTTTCTCATTTTTTTGTCCAATTTCATTCAAACTTTCACCAGTCTACTTCTCTGACTTTTCTGCTTTCCTCATATAGAGTAGTTTGCAATCAAGGTTGGGTTCCCCTTTTAAACCTTGAGCGTAGCCTAGCCTAAATTTGTCAGTCTTCTGGCTGTTGTGTCAGGTGCAGCTACTGCAGGGCCTATGGACTCTAGTATACCATGCAGAAATGGTAGTGTAAACAGTCCATACACTCAGTTGCACATTAAAACTGACAAGAGTCTGTGCGTACAAACTACATTGATTCCATGAACTACATTGCTTAGCCAGAATTTGGAATTCAAAATCAAATCAAATCGCTGCTTTTAAACGTACACTTTATCAGGTTAACATGAGTGAGGACCCCTTTCCCATCATCTTGTTATTATCATGCTAACCATAAGATATCTCCAGGCCTTAAATTTCGTCATTTTTAGGGCAAGGCCAGTTTGGCCTCGAGTACCTCATATTTTTAAGGGCACCAAGGCCAAAATATTTTTACAAAAAGGGCATCGAGGCCAAAATATTTTACAAAAAGGGCATCGAGTATGAGGCCAAAAAAATTGATTCTACTTTTGTTAGATGTCATGTGTATTTTATGAAACTTGTGTGGGATCAATTTCCCATGACTTTTAGCACCAGCTTCTTCACAGAATGTATAGAGGTCTACGGTACATACAAACAAGGCGGCGGCCCGCAAGCCTTAGATTTAGCAGCCAGGAGCAAGGGGCAATTTTTTTTTTAAGTCGCCCTTTGCCACAGGAATTTACCAGAGCAAGGGGCAATTTTCCAAAAACAGATAGGCCCCTTATCTAATCATAAGTTCAAAGAGAGTTGTTAATTTCATAATGTGAATAGATCGAACGATCAATTTAATAACTTCTTAATCTTAACAATATGAACAGGAAAGATTGATTAAGAACATCAAACTTGCACATTAAACAGTATTCTAAAGTAACTAAAAATATTGATGAGCAAATGAATAAATAAATTGTCAATTTCACAAACATCGAAAGTCAGAAGGACTTGGCAAGTTTACCGGGCCGGGTATCCCAAATCAAAATCGCACCTCACACACAAACCTTCCGCCACTCTCTCGGTAGTAGGACTAGGAGCAAATTTGAAGAAATTATCTTTTTAACTCTTGTATAGAAAGGTCTAGATAGGCCTAACTAATGAAATAAGATGTAAAAATGTCCTTATAGACATTCGACAGCTGAAAGTGACACGCTCAGCTCAGTTGCGTAACGTGCATTCACGAAACCAAAATCGTTCCTCGCACACACACTCTCGCCACTTTTGGTGGGAAGCTGTCGGGCTGGAAGTTTGCCAGCGAAACCGATGCACCCTCGGAGACTCGCAGCGCGTAATTTTACCGGGACTCGAAACGTTCGTCTTGGGAGGCTGGCGGGGTAGCTTTTTGAAGCGAGGTCGGCTGGTGGCAAAATGAGAGTAATTACGATCGAGAACATCGTAGGTGTTCTTAACTTATTAATAAGATAATTCTAAATTCTATTTGAGATAAAATAATAAACTAGACCTACAAACAAACCTCGACAGATCTCTAATGACTATTTGAATGCTTGTTTATTTCTCCATTTGACGATTTGTTTTCTTGATCCTGGCCTTTGATTTGTACGTACGTACGTGCGTGCGTCAACAACATGCACCATAATTATGCATATCATGCGATCGCATGAACGTACGTGCGCTAGCGCATTGCCTATATAATAACAAAGGGCGCATTTTCACGGCACTTGCGCCTTATTAAAGCACTAAATACGAAGCTAGAAGAGAGCTCGTGGGCGGCAAACTGTTCGTGATTCGTGTATTTTTTCTGTTCTAATAATTTATGGGCGCATTTTCACGGAAAACACTTGCGCCTTGCCGTCTAGTTTAATTTAAGGCCTGTATCTCTCAGTTTAAAAATTAGAGTAAACTCTACATTCCCAAATCAACAAGTTTGTCCGTTCCTACAATATAACCTTAAAGTTTCAAACCACATACCTGATCTTTAACTTTACTAACTGTCGTGTGAACTGAACTATTATCATACTATAATCATGATCACTATAATCATTCTTGCATTACTTTGTGAAAGCATCTCAAACTTTAAACATAAATTGTAAGTAACTGTATAGTGTATATATATTCACCTTCTTCACTGTGAGTTGCTTTCTAATATAAAAATATTAAATATGTACTGCTTGTAACCATTGCTAACAATATAGCTCCATGGTCTTACAACACCTTGGACTCTGTAAGTCTGTTATTACCATCATCATCTGCAAATTTTCTATGAATGCATACATTCTCAAGTATATACATGTATCCATTAATTATCTTAATGTGAATACTGGTTGATTTCAAAGTCTTGTAATATAGCCAGAGAATGAGTAATTTGCATCCCTGCATCATGATCAAATACCATGTGGGCCTGCAAACTAAAACAACCTGGGCCCCATTTCACAAAACTTGTCATTAGTGACAAATGATACATGTAGCTGTTATAAAAACTAGTGAAATCCTTGCTTCTGATTGGTGATCAGCAGATTTGACACTGAATTTTGTCATTTGTCATTAAAAAATGCTTTGAGAAATGGGTCCCTGAGCCCCGTCTTATAAAGAGTTGCGATTGATCCAAATCAATCGCAAGTCCTGTAATCAATCGCAAGTTTGCAGTCCCATATCTCGTATGTACATAGTTGCGATTGATATCAATTACGAATAAGTTGCAATTGATATCAACTCTTTTTAAGAAGAGGCCCAGAAGTGCGTGTTTACTCACATCTGTTTTGTTTTGTAGCGAACTAAAAAGGGTGCCCGTAAAAGGTTTTTGTTATACTGGAATCCTGTCTGTGCTTGCAGACTCTTTTTTTTTGTACACTTAAGTGTATGACACAATAATAATCAAACCATGCCATCTTTCTATCTTTCAACAATCTGCAGAATTTCCTCAGCCACCACGTCATCGACATCCCCCGTCAAATCTTCCAAAGTGGTTTCCCCTACGCACACCTCCACTAGTACCAGGCGGACCACCAGGCACTCTGCGGCCGCAACCACTGGCCTCAAAAGGTGAGTGGTCTTGGACTCTTCCCATGCCACGCAAATAATATCCCTCCTTATCCATCATGGGATAGAGAACTACCCAACGCTTCAAGATTTATAAGCTAACTTTGTCCAGTGCAAGATTAATCTATCCTGGAGGGCATTTCACAAAACTTGTCATCAGTGACAAATGACAGTTTTTTGTTATAAGCTACTGAAATCCTTGCTACTGATTGGTTATCAGCAGAATTGTCACTGATTTTTGTCTTTGTCATTGAAAAAAGGCTTTGTGAAATGGGTCCCAGGTGTTGAAAGGGTTGTCATGGAGCTAATCAAGAGTGAAAATGGGTAATGTTGCAAAGCCATTGTGTTGCACATAGCAATCCTTCCATTAATTGGTGCCTATCGTTTTGTGCAAAATTGCATGTGTAGCCAACAAGGGACCATGCAGAGAGACAAAGGAAGCAAACAAAGGGTTAATTCTTGTACTACAGTAAGGGACAAGAACAGCTTGTAGTTCTTCAACAAATGTAGAAGAGGCACATCCTGTACATAGTTTATAAAGGTAGAATAGGGTTTTGTACAAAGATGATCTATGAGACAGGGTACTATAATTGAAAATTCAATCCCCGAAATAGGATTGTATGCATTGTTCCCTTTAACCTTTATTTTGTAGGGGGTCCAGATTTCATTAATTTGGTTCTGTGTGCATTATAAGCCACATGTTAAAATTATGCAATTTCGAGGGTCCTGAATTGATGGGACATAAATGTTGCAAGAGGTCTTTGTATGTTTTTTCTTCTTCATTTTTCCATTTATAATAGCATCCATCTTGCATTAAAAAAAATTAAGCAAACAAACAACGTGCAAAATGAATTGAAAATATTGCAGTTCTTGAACTGTGCATCAAGGCATACCATATTCTATTCTTATTTATGCTGTATTTATTTCATGCCATTTGCATTGCTTTCCTCTTCAAAGTTGTGGAGGGCACCAAGTTTGTGTTGGCTCTTTTAAAAAGATTAAAGCAGCTCTATTTAAAATCCTAGTTGAAATTCCGGCACAAGTATTGTGGTATTTATGTGGTACTTTGTGCTGTACACGTTATTTATTGCCTTGTCTTCGAAATTGCATCGCTGTCGGACCATACAGTGTGTGATGGGTTTTAAGGCATAGACCTAGATACATTACATGTAACTGTTTCCCTGGTTGCAAAACCACTGAACAGGTAAAACTATCCAATCTCCTTCCCTATCTAAGTGTGATGTTCTAATACTGTTGACATCAATGTCTATGGTACATTTCTTTTTGTGTTCAATTTGTATATTTATGTGGAAAGTTAACATCATGACAAGACTCTCGTTTGGTGGCTGGATTAAAAGTTGTCCTAATCTACTTGTCTGTTTGATGTTTGTGTAACTTGTAACAGGAGTAGTGCAGTTTTCATGTCTCACAAATTCCCCACAAATGTAGAGATCGACATTCAGTATTTAGAAATAGAAGAAGCATGTCACTGTCCAAAGCAAAAAAAGGTGTAGTTGTTTTTTGTATTGTTTGTTTTACATGTAACTAGTCTTTAGGAAGGGTAGCCATGTATTTTCTTTTTTTTTTTGATGAATTGAGCTAGAATGAATAAAGGGCAGGAAGAGTTGGAATGAAATCAGTGTTTGGCAAAATGACAGTTATTATTACATCTACCATACATGTATATATATATATATACATGTAGTAGCATGTTATTGCACTGTAGAATACAAGAAAATGCAACATTATTTCTCTGTACTTGGCTGCTACTATTCACAAAATTTGGAGTGAGATTTTTATTTTTTTTAAATAATTTTTTTTAATTGGGGGGAGGGGGTAAAGATAAGAAAACCCTGTCTCCAATCATAACAGGTCATATGTGAGGAATATGAAAACTAACATTATTGTTACTTTTTTGGGCAGTGTGGGGTGTTTTTTCTAAACCTATAAGAACTCTTTTTATTTTGTACATTGCCCCCTCTCCTCTCCTCTCCGTCCCCTTCGTCCCCCTTCATTCTGCCGCCTTGCTACGCCCCCTCTCTCTCTCTCACAGCGGCTCATCGAGGATTAACAAAGAGTATAGCACAGGACACAACGCAGGCGACTACACCACTAGCACCACCTCCTCTTCACTCAAATATACCCGCTCTACACCAGTAAGTAGGATTTGAATGACCCCCTCCTCCTCCCCTCCCCCTTCCCCTGCCTGCTTGCCCATTCACCTCTGCCTACACTCTTCTATATATTTCCTTCTTGGCACCCCCCCCCCCCCCACACTCCTGCACTGAAGAACTACTCAAGTTTAAACTTTGCATTGCTTTTCTTTCTTTTTCAGTATTTTTTGCTTGGTACATGTTTCTCTTAATATCTGTCGTATAGATTTTTAATATTTTTATTTATATCTACGTCAATCTGGCTGTTCTTTTTCTTGTCTTCTTTTTTTTTCTCTCTCTTTTTTTTCCTCGTATTTTGTATTGATCCTTACCCTAGTTTTTGAACTTGAACAGCAATTTGCAGCACTCAAATTTCTTTAAAATTACCTTCTCTTATTTGTCTCTGTTCCCCTCTCCCCCCCTCTCTCTCTCTCTCTCTCTCTCTCTCTCTCTCTCTCTTTCATCTCCCATATCATAATTTGAAGTACCATCTATGGTGTTTTCAGATTGATCTTTCTTGCTTTCCCCACCCTCCCCCTTTATGCAGTTAATTTTCAGTCTATTTGTGTTTTCTGTGGTTGATTCTAATCATATTCTAACTCTTATTTTACATTTTACTTCACTAACAACTGGTTTATTATATTTGTTACTAATTTTGAATTAAACTATTTACCATTCTGAACGAACTGAAAGATTAAAGATCAAACTATCTATGAATAGAATGGTATTTCTTCAATTTATTCAAATTTCTCTCTCTTTAACCCCCTTTTTCTGCTTGCATTTTTATCCCTTTGCCGTGGACTTCACTGGATATTTTGCTTTGATGCCAATCCAACAATTTTGCATATATTACAAATATATTGATGTGTTTGTGTTTATTTATTCACTCCACTGTTTCCTTGTATAGCAAGGAATATGTAGATCTGAACTTGGATTTGACAAAAATATGTTCATGGTTGTAATTTTCTTATATATTATAAATGTAATCATTCCAAAAGCTTAGATTTTGGATGGAAAAGTATTTGTACAACAATACTAATGCCAACAGGGTCAAATGACTTGTTTTAAAAAATAACAGTCTTTTCTTCCCTATCTTATAAACAGTTACAATTGATTCAAAATGAGCGCAACCTCATATCAATCATTATTCAGTACCGAAGGCGTTTGTACGTACGTGTACCTGTATGTGATTGATCGGAGGACTGTAGTCAAGTTGAATCACAGGTCTTTATATATAAAAATAGGCTTTGACTGTTTGCTATCAATTTTGAGGAGCTTTCTTTAAAATATTCACATCATATCTACAGCTCACTAACTCACTCTTATCTCATTATTTCCTTTTGTCTTTTTTTCTTCAAATAATGAAGCCATTAATACCTAGCGGAAAGCTACAGTATCTGGAAAGCCAGTTAGCGTATCAACCAAGGAGATACATTTACATGTAGGCAGGCAGGCAGGCAGATATCAGCGTTGTTTTTCTTTCATTTCTCTTTTGCAAATTGTGTTTGAAAAAGAAGGGCAAACTTGAACCAAGGGCTGTTTCCAATACAATTATCTGCCGTGTTCATGACATTTTGAAATAGATTATGCCAGTTTACAGGGGGAAATTGATGGATATCGATTTACAATGTGAGTTTTGGGCACTTATGAACAAGCACTCACATCATTTATCGAACTTTTGTGAATTACAGTCATTTGACATGACTGCTAAAGTAATAAAAGGTTTTAGATGTTAAACAAAGTATCTGGAGTCATGAGGTCAATAATTCATATTCCTGAGCAAAAAAAATTCTGCTTTTGTGCAAAATAAAGGAATATAACTAAAATAGCGATTCAACCTCACATGCATCATACCGCCATGCAAGTGGAATTGGCAATGTCACGATCACCAGCAAATAATGTGTTGCACTGCACCTGACAAATTCTGTGCAATGGAAACAGCCCTTGAAAAGTTCAAAGTTCAAAGGTCAAAACAAACATGAGCTGCCCAATAAATATTATTTGCCAGAATGTGACAATTTCATGTCATCCAGCATTTAGATTTCTTTTGCTCCAACTATGGTGTATGTACTTGTAATGGCGCACTTGATCACAACACTCTTTCTTCTTCCTGTCCTTGCAGCTCGTTGAAGCAACAAAGCATCTTTTCTTGTCTCATGAGGGCAGCATTTTATTGTAGCTTATGTTGTCGCCGTTTGCCAAACTATCTTTCAGTTTCTTGAATTGTGCATTTATATGTGTACCCACTTTGTTCAATTTATTTTCATTGTACCTGATCTAATTTGCATTTTATTTTACAGAAATAAGAGATGGCACGTGCTAAGAAGCTGATCATTTTGCTTGTCACCTGTTCTAAATATTATTTTTCTTTACTGACATTGTAAGTCAGGAAAAGACAGTAATTCTGTTAAAAGAATTCACAAGAAGTGCCTTTCAATTTCACTTTGTAGCTGTTTAGCCATTTTTGTTCTTCTTGAATGTTTTATCAGTGTTATGTATGGAATAATGTGAATCTCCAGAAGGGACCTGAAATGGATGCTTTTTGTACTTACACAGAAATAAGACTTATTCAGATATTGACATTTAAAAAAACAAATTATTGGTGAAAGGATGTGCTAATCAGAGATTTCCAGCTACTTTTGAAGGATTCTTTCCAAGTAAGCTTGAGAAGTGATGGAAATGTATCTTTTTTTAAACTTTAATTCCAAACTTACTATCGGATTCTAGAAAACTTTAAGATAAGAAATTTCAGTTGATAAGCAGGAATACTATTCCTATAAGAAATTAATTTGTATCATCCTTAGCCTTTAAAAAAATGTACCAAATTCTGCACGAATTGAATGCGGAGTTCATGTTGTCATGGAAAATACAGTTTCAGGTCCTCTCTTGTGATGCGTTCTGCTTAAGGTATTCCAACCTTGCACCCAACTTCTGCTATGTATTTTTATAATCTCTGTTGCTTCCTCTCTCCTCCTTGTGACAGTCCTCCCGTCGCTCTCGCATAGCTCCCGCCATGTGTCGTTGCTACGAATTGGTCCAAGTCTGGTAAAAAAACAAAGAAGCATGGCCATTGATCCTCTGCTCGCACGCATGCATATACCCGACTTTCAAAATGTATATTGATGTGTTAGGGTCAGATCCTAGGTTGATGTTTTCTCTGTGCTTTATCATGATTTCTCACAACATCGAAAGGGTGAAATTAGGCCTGTCTACATCAGCTCGAGATTGCCAAATATCCCGCTATTTTAACTATCCCGGTTGCAAATTATCCAGCTAATGTGCGTCTTCATCAGCCCGCAGTTGCAGTTAGCAGGATATTTGGTCGAGATAATCATCCCAAGATATCTTGGGCTATATTGCAAAATATCCCGCTATTTGCGTCTTCAAAATATCTCTAGCTCGAGGTTGAGTGTCGAGCTGATGAAGGCGCGATTTGTAACTCTGGGCTTATTTTTCAAATCAATTTGGCAATCTTGAGCTGATGAAGACAGGCCTATTGAGTCTTGTGTTGTGGGGGTGATGACAGGTTGCTGACGATACATTCCATGTGAGATGATTGAATGGCTTGCCATACGCTGTCTAACCTGTTTGATATGAAGATGCTAGTATATTTTGCATGGGTTATTTATGTGCATCCGGTATTATAGCATGTTGCCTGACGCAGAATGTATCCATTCATTGCTTTCACAGAAAGCACGGATTGTCAATCACAGAGTCATTAATTTGTTTAGTATACAGTGCTTCTTAAGCTCTTTCTTTTCTTTAAGTTGCAGTCTGTGTGGATACTTAAGACGTAATAAGAAGTTACTGAAAATGTACTGTTCAGTGTGTAGGGTTTGTATACATGTACAGTGTAAGTGACAAATTGTCCTGCTGTTGTATTTTAGTCAGAATGTGCATGTGAACACACATCTTTTTTGTTACCAAAGTGATGATGTTGTGTAGTATCACTATGAACATGATAGACAAAGAAAGAGGACAAAATATACAGTAGGTAAATATGTGTAGAACAGGTGTCACATGCATATTCACCTGTTCTACACATTTTTACATAATAGCAGTGAAGGGAGGGTCCTTTGTCTTCCACAGCAATTGTTGAGGGTAGAATGAGGAACTGTATATTTTGTCCTCGTTCTTTGTCCGTCATGTTCATAGTGTATGAGATGACATATCAAACCAAGTATTGACATTCACGTTGCATTAATAATTCAGTACTAAACTGCCAGCGTGGTAGGTGTACACATACCTGTAGCTACCTGAGAGACATAGTTACATCACCGGAAGTTGCTTCTCATTGGTCAGGCATTTCACGAAGCTCCAAAATAGTTCCCTCTCAAAGAGATTGTACGTACAGGAGAGAACTATGTTGAGCAACATGATTTAACCTCAGACCCATCTCACGTATGCGTGGATGCGTGTGTCACAACTTTCTCTCTCAATACGCTATGGGTGTACACGAAAACATGAAACAACATTCCAACCAAACACACAATTAATTTCCCAGTAGTTTGCATTCATGTTTCACATATATTTCAAAACATGTACATGTATTAACACGGCAACACCATTTATATCATTTCTAATAGACACATTGTAGTCCAAACTTCATAATAACTTTGATAGCTAGCATACAGCATACGGTATACAAATATTAACTGCTCGCTCATGAGGATGATGGTGGGAATGATCACTCCCAAGGTGGTGTTCATACCGGCCCTTCTATCACGGTAAAAAAACATTACAATGTTTAATAGTAACGTTGTGATGCTCGCACCATAGTGTGCAAACTATTTCAACACTCACACAATCTTACGATGTAGGCATCCTAAACAAGAAGAAATCACAACCGAGAGAGACTGATCTCACTAGATCATACAGTGTAGTATAGTGAAACCTGTCTATAAAGACCATCCAAGGGAGACAAGAAAAGTGGTCTTTATAGGCAGGTGGTCTTTATGTACAGGTTCCTTTGGTGCATGTTTCAATGAGAAACCATTTTCAAGGGAAACAAAAAAATGTGGTCTTTGTAGACAGGTGGTCACTAAAGCAGGTTTGACTGTATAACAAGATAACAGGCATGTATCCCATCCATCCATGAATTGTTTCTCAGGTGATTCAGCAGCTATACTCTACTACATCATCAACAGACAAGGTATTTTCGGTCAAGTATCCTTGGTGAGTGCATAGATCACAACACAAACCTCTTATCATCTTCACTCACTTTGATCTATACAGTGCTGAAACCAGAACCAAGAACCTTCTCCCTCCCCCCCCCCCCCCCCCCCAAAAAAAAGGGAAATTGTTTTTTTGATGTCTTGGGAAGCTGCATCATGCAAAATTTTCTGTGTCTATCTGGTTGCAAATGCGCAAAATGAAATGGAAAAAAAATTGGAAATAAAGTTTGTCTTGTAACTCGTTATTTGCTTTAGATTGAAACCCTGTACTGGTCTGGATTTGAGCACTTCCATCCCCTTTAGAAATCTAATAGAACCATATGAATATATGCAACCTCTTTTAAATCTCTTCACATTATTCATTTGACTTTTTGCGGATCACCACACTATCACAGTATCACACTATAGTTTGCTCTTGCTCATCTTTATATTGCTCAATTCATACATCAACTTTTATCTTTCTTTCTCCCCCCCCCCCCCCCTTTCCACAGGGTTGTTTATTTTCAAAACAAATTCCATCATGACATGTACAGTATATCCATACATTATATACAAATGATTAAACATATTTACATCAAAAAGCATAACGTTTATACAGAACAATTAAAATTCCATAGTACATTAAGTTTACATATACCGGTATACCAGATAGAGCACAACATATTTACTTTCATCCTCTTTGTATAAGCTACATGCATGTATTTGCAGTGAGACAAATAGCTGTTAGATGTCTTAGTGCGTGTTTCAAAGCCACATACCGGTAGGGTTGTGCTCATAGACTACTCTTCTCTTGCCAGATATATAAGTATTATTGATCTGACTTTCTTTCTATGAATTTCATTCAAATTTTTCACACGATGGCATCACTTCATTTTACGTCTATTTTGTGTGTGTGATGTCATGCTATGATAATTCTTTCATCACATCTGCTTTCTACAATGTGTGTTATGCAGAAGGATTCCCCCCCCCCCCTCTTCTTTGATAATGAGCTTAAAGGTAAAGATCAGTTTTGGAAACGCCCCCTTTCAAAAAATGAAATGGAAGCTCTTATTACCAATCATGTGAAAGAATATGTTTTGACTATTAATACATGATGAAACAAATTTTGCCAAGAAACCGCCTACTAATTGATATATTTGGTAATTTATTATATCTATTTGGACCTGATAGATATCGAGCACGTGTCGCGTAGTCCCATATACATCTTTCTGTGTACAGTGCTGGTAACTTTACCAAGACTGGGCCAAATTTCTTATTATTTTGATGATTCCAGAACCTTGCAGTACACACCAATACTTATATGCTAGATGATCAACCTTTTCTGATCGATTCCACAATGTTTTTGTCACAATGCAATCGAATGACCATAATTGGTCTTTATCTTTAATGTCATCTCAAGTTCTGCTCTTGAAATTCTTTTCAAAGAATAAGTTTATATATACCAAAAAGGTAAGGTAGAGCCGGTATTTGAAAAATTGCTGTTGAAATCCAATTGCAGTTGCATACTGGAAAGCAACACGAACATAATTCATGTAAACTGTATTATTTGCATTATCATGGGAGATTCCATGTGTTTGATGTGGAATTTATTAAAAGTCTAAAATACTTGAATTTCTGCTTTTGAATATATTTTATTTTAAGGCTACAAATGGCTCTCCATAATTTTTGAGTCTAACTTGGATTTAGGAACTTTAGAATCTTTGTGAAACAACCCCCTGATGTTTACATTTGTCTTTGCTTTCTACTCTGCCATTATGCATTTTCTATGAAGTTTGTCAGGCAGATATCATTCAGTGCTTTATACCATTCCTGTGTGAATTTCACTGGATTCCTTGAGAGATTTATTCTCCACAAGTTCTCTTTCAATAACATCTTGCAATATTGCCATCAAACTTGTTTTCATTGTATGTTTGTGTGGGTGGGGGGGGGGGGGTCCTCATGTTGCAACTGCATGAACCTTTTTTAAAGTTAGTGTTAAATGCTACGTGAGAATGAGTTCTTCATGCTTCTACATGTATTCCTAGTAGCACCGTACAACAACAAAGCTAGAAGTTGAAGAACTTGGAAGCTAATTGTTAAATCGGCATGAGTAAATCATCTATTTAGAGCGAGAAGGGTGTTTAACCTCTTTATTTACATGTATATCAGATTATGAAACATCCTTCTTTCTCTGAACAGATGATATAGTCATAACTATTTAGGGGTCTTTTTATGCAAATGCATGATACACATTGTGTATTGTGACGGTGTGACCCATAGCTGTCAGTTTTCATTGGTTTCTATTATGTTGCCGTACATATATTTCAGCCGTTTTTCTCCCACAGGTTGTATAGTCATTCATAAGCATTTTGCATTTTGTTTTTCTCAGCTACAAGTATCTTATAATAACATCTGATTTTTGTAAACCAAACTGAATTTTTTGCATTGTGTGTTTTTCTCACACTGACATGGGTTTTCACTGTATGCTAATTATGACTTGGGAAATGTTCTTTTTCACTCAGTCAGTGAAAATTTCCAACACCAGGGCCCAGTGAAACAAAGGTTTGCGATCAATTCAGGCATATTTAAACCGAAGATTCTGAGTGGTTAATGTCCAGCCTTTTGAACATTATGTGCATGCAACGATGATCTTGATTGGCCATTGTCATTCTGCAATTGATAGCAAACCTTTGTTCTACGGGGCCCAGGGGGGTGTTTCACAAAGATCCTAAGTAGAACTTAACTCTAAGTTGGACTTAAAAATTATGGACAGCCATTGGAGTCTTAAAAAGAAATATATTTAAAAGCATAAATTCAAGTATTTTAGACTTTTATAAATTCCACATCCAGAACATGAAATCTCCTTGATGATAGAAAGTAAGAATGATTTGAATAAACAATTAATGCCTTTCAAAATAACTTTTACAAAATATTTTCAAAGATGCTAATGGCTTTCCATAATTTTTAAGTCCAACTGAGAGATAAGTTCAACTTAGGATCTTTGTGAAACACCCCCCAGGGCTCAGCACTAAACTGAAATTGTCTGTTGAGAGCCAGAGGGGCATTAGATCTGTGTTAAAGTATGCACATGACTTAGTACCTTTCTGCCTGGCTCACATTTTACAATATAAATGTGCCCAAAGTAAAACAATTGACTTACATACTATTTTGTGAGTCAATTTGTGGCTGAGTGAGCAACCAAATGTTCTTGTTTGACTGTTTTTGGTCGCGCAGAAACGCAGGCAACAACTACTGCTGAGCCCTGTTGCTACTTTAATATGTAAAAACAACATTTTCTTTGATTTATGCAAATTTTTATTTGCCAAATTGTCATGACACATTTTTGTTTTCTCTTCAGTTTGCTACCTCTGTTTTCCTTTTGCTGTCACTGAATGTACATGTACTATGATACTGTTAATTTACTTTGATTTTGCTTCTTTTTAGTCTGAATTGAATTTGAATGTTTCTCATGAGCAAAATAATCCATTATTTTTCTTTCCTTTTCTCTTAAAAAAAAATTATATTCACAATTGAATTTTTGTTGATATATTTTTGATTGGATTTGAATGGTTCTCATGAGCAACATACATGTAAAATCCATTATTCATCTTTCGTCTTCTCATTCTGTTTAATTTGCAATTTCTATTCACAATTGTTTTTTATTTTTGTTTTTTAGAGAAGAAAAAAAAGTCATAACTAATCCAAGTGTTTGCATGCAAGCAAAAAACTTGCACTTTGGAATGCCAGAGTAATTTTTCTAAACTCTTTGATTTGTGTGCATATCAAGGTTTGATTATTCAGTTTGTTTTGCTTTTGTGCTCTTACTTTTTGTTTTCAATCTTTTTATTTGACTTAAATACTTCAAAGGAATTTACTTGTAGTAACCACTTTACCACAATTAATTTAACAAATGTTCTCTCTTCTTTATTTTATCTTCCCTTTTATCTCTCCAGTCGTACAAGCCCACGTATTCATTCTACTAAATCTGCTGCTCTTCGGTAGAGGGCTCCCTCGCTCGCTCGTCTCTTTCTTTGTTACCATCCATCCGCCATCTTTATCTCTGTGGCCTTTCTTCTAGACTTTTACGAAGAATGACCGAAAAAGAAAAAAAATGTTGCTTCATTCTCAGGAATTTTGATGGAAAAACAAAACCTCTACAAGAAAATAGACACTATCTTGAGACATTTTTACGTAATTATGGATTGTGTATTTCCTAGGAAATTGTATTCTATTGCCCAAAGTGCCTTGTGAAATTTTCTCTTTGGAGATACCATTGACTAGTGTAGGACTGTTTTTAGGTGACGCATTTCACCCCTCTTTAATAATTCCTTTCTTGTAATCAGAGTGTTTTGTATTTATTTTCTTAGCCTGTGTGTGTATATATATATATATATATGATTTGACTTTTTAGTATTGCTCATTGTAAATAGAACTTTCGATCTTTTTATGAAATCACATCAATCGTCTGGCTATTCTTAATTTATCGGCTGTGTGTATTCCTATTTTAGCTTCTATTTTCAGCTTATCGTGTATAGAGTTAACAGATTTAAAGAAATATTTTGATTTTCTGATCAGATCTTAATGCATTCCAGGCATAAGTTTCATTGCACTGTTTTAAGATTTCCAGCTGTAATGCTCAAGTGATCGAAATACACATAGACGGTATATTTTTATTGTTTTTTAATATTTAGAATCATGTTATTTTCATTTGTTACCATTTTTGTTCTTCTTTTTTTCCAGCTGTATAAACAGTGAACTTTGACCAATAAAAAAAAATGGAAAGCCTTCATACCAGTCTTTTTCAACAATGGCTCATAAAAAGGGAGAAGGATAGTATACTGCATCCTTTTAATATTCAACATACCTCAGTCTTGTGAAGATGGGTAACTTGATGTGATGTGAATAGCACTGAATACAGTGTGATTGAAGCTCAGTTTTCATGTATCCAACTGCCTTCATCAAAAAGAGAAACTGTTTACTGTTGGAATTTAAAAACTTTGTTAAAAAGGAGAAAATAATTGGAAAATATTTGAAGCTTTGGTATGGAGGTTGTTTCATTATTACATTGACAAGTTATATTACAACATTCCATTACGAATACTGATAGAGAGAGAACATCGTCTGCTGAGAGCCAGCCAGCCAGAAAGACTTTAAATCATTTCCTTGGGCATGGAGCTAACGTCCTTATTGCTCTCGGGAGACGCCTCAAAGAATAGTGTGTGTTTTAGTGTGTGTTTCAGATACCTAGAGAAGATTGCCTGACATTTCAGTAGACACATATAGAGAGGGGTGTGTGTTTTTTAAATCACATTTTAGACACAAATTTTGCACGGTTTGGACCCACATATAGATTTAGCCTATGGCTATTATACATGTATGTGCTGTAGTATGTAACTTGCAACAAGCACATTGCATTAGAAATTTCCATGGTTGAAAATTCAAATGTAGGCTGTAGTATAACCTTCTTCTAAGAGTTATTCTCTCAGTTGAGTTTATTTACAATAAATGGTAATTTGTGATATGTATTCAATACCTTATGTTTCTTGCCAAAGACATAGAAGCAAGTTATTTTAGCAGATTTGTCCTCATTTTGAAGATTTTTTGTTCTGCTTTCTTGAATCATTGGCTCTCTTATTACTTGTGATAGCTTTTAACTTGTGTGAACCATGTATAAAGTGGAAACTAAATTACCTACAGTGTGCGCATCTGAATAATGTCAGCAAGATGTGGAAGTACGGTTGAAATTCTAAAATCAGAGAAGAGATGGAGAGACAACGTACCGGTACCTCTTGTTCGCGATCAATTGAAATAATATAGCTCTGAGTGCCTTTGATCTTCTGGAATCATTCCATGTGTTTTTTAGGCAGGTTTTTTTTTTAGGATGCCTCTATAACCTGCCAGTGTTTTTTAACGAAACAAAGAGGTGTAAAGCTGTATGTTGCGGTATTTGGAGACACACACTGTTTGCACAATGACCATGTTTTAAATGCATGCTGATGAAGATATTTGAAACATGAGACCACATTCAGTTTATTTATGACTTGATGAGTGGTGACCAAATGTGTTTTCTTTGACTGAAATAGTGGAGGACACACTTCAGGGCTTGTTTGTGTGAAACACACCAGAAATCTTTCTTTAATTCCATTCAAAAAGCCAGGGAATTTGGTGTTGTGTCCCTTTTGGATATACACTCTATTATGAGATCATAGCCAATTTTTACATACAGTTTGAAACTGTCCTTTTTAGAAAACAAATATTTTTACTACTTGGACTGGAACCGTTCATGTACTTTTTTTTCTGGCCACAAAATATACTCACAGTAATCCCTGGTGTTTTATTCAACTTCAAAGTAAGTCTAATTTTGAGAGTTTAATCATTGTTAGGCAGTATAGAAAATAATGTCCATCCATGTAGCAGCTTTAGCAGACTATGCACAGAATATACATATCATAATCAGTCAAAATACTTTGTTCAAGTAGAGTTTATAGTGTCCTATACTGTATCATTCTTGGAAATATTTTTATAACATATAAAGGTCTACTCTGAAGGGGAATCAAAAACATGTAGAAACTTGCAGAACATGAAATAATAGAATTTTATGGGTTCATCCAGTATTGATGTACAATAATTGTGCTCGTAATTTTTGTTTTGTCCACATACATGTATGGTATTACAAAAAAGGACCAGATAATGTTATTCAATTTTGTTGCTGTATTCTTTTTTGTAAGACTTGCTTTTAGCAAAACCGGTTACATTGCTTGTATTCTGCTCTTGATGGCTTTTTTTTTTAATTGAAATGTATTTTGTTGCTGGTTAAATCATTTTAGTTTTGATATGGTACTAGTTTTATTGAATGTTCATTGTGGTATTTACTGGCTCTACTACAGTCAAGAGAGGAGAAGTTTCTGGGTAAGATCAAAATAGCTTTGTCTTGCTCATTTTTATTGATAATAACATCGAGTGGGTAATAACTACAATTAATAGCGTGATTCTTCACTGGTTTTTATTTCAATTGACGTGATGACTTCTTTTTTATTTCACCTTCTATTCAGGAATTCAAGAATTGCTCATTGTTTTCAAATTCTCAACTTTGTTTTCAAAGTTTGTAAAAAACCTTTTATCCCTTCTGTAGTTCAACTATTTCATAGGATCGATCCTTTTTTATTCTACCTGATTTAATCTTACCTGCAATTCTGCATTGTAGTTTGCATGTGACAATTTTTCACTTCTCTCTTGTGTATTCGTGTACTATGTTCAATTGAGTAAATACTTTACCGGTCGGTATACATGTAGATCATGATTGCAATGCCAAAGAATATTTAGATGTATTGTTATTTTCTCTTTTTTTCACAGAGAGTTCAATATCATGCTATCTCTTACTACAATGTTCATTTGTGTATTATTTCTATTTCAGCATCATTTAACTACATTTACGAAGCTTAGATTGCAGTGTAAATTGATATCTAGCACCTGTATTGTGCTTACAATGGCATCAACTTAAAATATATCACATTACACAATTATGTATCTTAACTATTTCTTAACAATCAATAGTATACAAATATTGACTGCTCATGAGGATGATGGTGGGAAATATCACTCCCAAGGTGGTGTTTACACCGGCCCTTCTATCACCCCCGAGGCGAAGCCGAGGGGGTGATAGAAGGGCCGGTGTGAACACCACCGAGGGAGTGGTAGTTCCCACCATCATCCGATTACAGAGCAGTCCATATTTGTTTTATATACCTCATCCTTTTTATTGATTCATGATTAGGTCTAGCTGTAGGTCTAGATCTAGCTCTAAAAATAGGAAACGAGATCAAGAGGAATTTACTAACCCAAATAAGAAAAATCCAACATCAAGTCCAAGGCAAGAGTATTGAATTCCTACGCGCTGCGCGTAACCGCGCGATTGCGGTAGCCTAGCAACTCAAAAAATTTGTGTGCGCAACTAAGTCGCGGGAGGGGTTAGGGGTCCTATCCCAGGGTTTGATAGTAGCTATCAACCCCTCTGACGTAATGATACTTGATAGATCGAAATGCTCCTTGACATGTGATATAGTCTTGACCAATCAGTGAATGGCAATCTATGTATGAGGTATATAATCTTTGTTATATTACACAGGCAAATTTTTTGTTATAGTAAAACAAGGAATTTGTTTCTCACTGCCTCTAGAGGGTATGATTTAATTGAATAAACCGGTAGCGGATGAAAATAATTTTGGCAAGAGCTATTCAATAATAAAAGTGCAGCAAGATTTCCTCAAATATTCATATTCATTATGTAAGAGTTGACTTGAAATTTAGTGTTTAGCAATTCCTTTGTTTTTCTGCTCATCTTGAAATATACATAAAGTATTTTTGAAAAAATGTGCGAAACTCCCTTAAACGAGACCAAATGGGTAATTAAGCTGACCATTTCTGCCATTCCACTTTGAGTATGGATTATGGACCATTGACTATTGCATCTTTATGCTATCCTAAATGTATTGAGTACATTCAACACAATCAAAATTACTTTCCAAAAATCTACCTATGGCATATTTCAATAGCCTTGTGCGTCACCTATTGAAATTTGCAATCATTACAATGGCATGTTCGGTAATCCAAAAATTTATTTTGATTGGATATACAATAGGGTATTGATATTGCCCTTAAGTTGATTTTGGGGAAAATAGTTACGATCGTGTTTTCCTTCTAACCCCCCCCCCCCCCCCCCCCCCCCCTGCAAGCTATAAGCAGTAGAATAACCCGATTGGATTATGCATCCATTGGGAATTCAGAAAGTTTGCTTGGCTTTTTCTCATTTGCTGTGAAGGAAAGCAAAAAAGGAAGAAAAAGATGCTCATAGAAGTTTGAATGCAATTAATAGAATTGTGCTTCCTCATAGAATATAATTGCAAAGGCTTTCAAGAGGTTGACTCGGTGATGATAGCTCTGTGCGTAACTTTTTTTAAACGTGTCAACATTGCAATGACTTATTACACAGTCAGAATATTATGTTGATAGGAGATTCAGTAGGCTATTGAGAATGCCAGTGATTTGATTTCTCGAAAGTCTGCGCAAATACCCTTATTAAATTTGCAGTGTTGGTTTGCGACAGGAAGTTAGAGAGCCATTTAATTTGGGGAACAATTATTGCCAAGATCATTCCATGATTGTAATTAATAATGATATGATTTTACTGATCAAAATTTCATTTTTCGTGTGTACTATTCCTACTTTAATAATATATTAGATTAAGCAGTTTCTTGAAAAGTATATATTTTTTTTAACAGTACATTGTTTTATTTCTATTGGAATTGTTTGAGACTATGTAAGAGGATGGTTTTTAAATGCTTAGAGGGCAAAGGAATTTATGGCGTAAAAAATTTGTTCAATAATGAAAAAAGGTGGGGGAGGTGGAGATACTTCTGTTATCAATGCCAACATGTCTGTTGAGAGGCAGGAGGCTGTTAATTCATATACTTTTACTTAGATTTAACACTTTTCTGGCTCTCAATGCATGACTCTAAAAACATCTTATGTATAGTTTGTTTTTTTAAGTTCACATACCAGTATGAATATGTTTATCGTATATTTTTATTTTGGCTTTGTGTGGTGTTTTATCTTGTTTTTAAAGGACTTACGTAACGCTGGGTGGTTTTTAATTAAAGTGCTTTGTAAATCTATGCTTTATTTGATTGCAAATTGTTATTTGTCTAATAGGATGTAGCAAAATGATCACAAAAGACTTGGTTATTTTTGTACCATTAAAGTTGAAATGCCTATATTATGTGTATATAAACAGATGAATTAGTCTAAGTGAAGAGCAAATTGTTTTTGTGATGGGATGACTGAGATATGTTTCAAATAATGTGTTGTTTTCTGTAGAATATTGAAGGAAACATGCAAGCTCTATTCCAAACATGTTATCACAAAGAACAGTGATTTTTTGCAATTGTATATGGTATTTGAGACTGATTGTGAATATCACTCTTGCTATTAAACAAAGCTCTTGTTATTGCATATTAATCAGAGTTATCTTTGTTTTTCTTTCTCATCTGATATGTCGTGTTTGTTTGTCTGTTTTGTTTTGTCTATGTCTTTTTGTTTATGTTTACACTTTGTCTTCTGGTGGGGTTGGTGGTTTTTGTTGTTGTTGGTGGTGATGTGAGTGATGATGTCCGCAGTGCTGGTGGTGGGGGTGGTGACAGTATTGGTAATGGTGGTTGTGGTGGAAATGATAGTGTTGTTGTTGGTGGTGGTGGTGATGTGAGTGATGATGTCCGCAGTGCTGGTGGTGGTGGTGGTGGTGGCAGTATTGGTAATGGTGGTTGTGGTGTAAATGATGGTGTTGTTGTTGGTGGTGGTGGTGGTTGCAGTGTTGGAGAAAGTGGTGGTTGTAATGTTGGTAGTGGTTGTGTCGCATATTTCTGTTGCTAGAAGGAGGTTGGGAAATCAGGATTACATAAGTTGGTAACTTGAAGTCCATTTTATGCCTTTGGCAAGTAATATGAACAAAATTATATAGGGAAAACAATATACCACATAGATTAACTAACCTTCATAGGCACATAAAGAAATCTTCAATTTAAGAAGCAGAATGTTAGGAATCCGAAGGAACACGACATAAAGGACATGAAGAATTTTTTTTTTTTAAGAACGAGAAAAAGAAATATACAAATTGAAGGAGAATTTGTTGCAAAAGACAAATATATTTTGATCATATATCTTATCTTTCATATATATAGAGGTGAAGTTTTTTTTTTTTTGGGGGGGGGGGGATAACAAATATTTTAAGAGCTAAATATCTTCTTTCTCTTCCTTCTCTTCTTCTCCTTCTTCTCCTTCTTCTCCTTCTCCTTCTTCTCCGTCTTCTCCTTCTCCTTCTTCTTCTCCTTCTCCTTCTTCTCCTTCTTCTCCTTCTCCTCCTTCTTCTCCTCCTCCTTCTCCCCCTTCTCCTCCTTCTCCTCCTTCTCCTCCTCCTTCTCCTCCTTCTCCTCCTTCTCCTCCTCCTTCTCCTCCTTCTCCTCCTTCTCCTCCTCCCGTTCTTCTAGTATTTTTTTGTCACATAGATATCCCTCTGCAAAATATAGCTGCCTACCCTTTTCTTACAGTGGAAGTGTCCTCACACGCAAAATGGCCACTGATTAGAACGAGTAGTAGGCAAAGCACCTGATTTTGAGTAGAAATATCTCTATTTCAGGCAGTCTCCCATAAATGTTTCTGTAAGAAATGTTCTCATCTTGTGCCACTTTATCGAAGCCAGAAGTCTATTTTTTAGTGTAATTCGGGAAAAACAAGCAAGAGGAGTGGCAATCGGCTTATCGGTACGTATCATTCATTGATTCGCACACAGTAGGTTGTAGACGAAGAGATTCTACATATTGTAAACACACTGCTCGCCTTCTCCGCGAGTTGCACTACACAGCCTGTGCAGTGTCAGGTCATTGTGCATAAAGTCAATCGTAAATTGTCATGCAATTCCAATCACTTATTGACTTCGTTCTAATCATTAATTGATACTTCATACTTGAGTGATGATATTGCTTACAAAGCTTACAGGTGAAGAGAACTGATCAGCTGCAGTTTTTCCTGGTAATTTTAATGATGTGATTTATGAATAATCTATTTCAATTTTTATTATTAACTCAGGATTCAGGGACAGGGGATCATTTCTCTTTCTGTTGCTTTCTTTTTTCATGGTTTTTATTTTCTTTAATTAAATTGATATTTTATCGGGTAGATCAAGGACTGCCTATTTTCAGTTCATAAACTGTTTTAACTTGAGTTAGGCAGATTTAAGTTGGATCTATTAATTAACCAATGAAAAGGGGGAATACCTTTGAGTAAATTTGTTCCGAAACCAGAAACATGTGAGTTGCGCAAGGCTAAGTGAAAAGTAATTAAACGTTGAATTAACTTTAAGGGATTCAAGAACTCAAGATCCATAATAATATTATCAATTATATCTTATATATCACTTTTCAATCAAGTGAAAGGTTCATAAGCAGTAGGGGCGCTGGTCCGAGAATGAGGATCGTCCGCATAAACGAGGTTATCCTCGTAAACGCACACAAATTGGGTCGTTAAAAAAAAGTGTTTTTTTCTTTCTTTGGCGCTCTGCGCGTGAAGGGTTCCTGATCCGCACGCTAGCAATGCGAAAAAACAGATTCCTCATAATAAAATACCACCAGTTCACAGTCTACTTTTATGGGCTGTCCGTCTTCCCGAGGATTTAGCGCTCATAACGTGAAAGTCTCTGTACAAAGTCAATGTGAAGTGCATTGAGAAAGTCATTGCGGAATCCGTTTTTCGCATCGCCAACACGTGGATTGGAAATAAGGATCGTCCTTGAAAGTGTGGACGATCCTTATTTTTGAGGACCAGCGCCCCTACTGAAAAGTTTTGTCATCTTGGGGATACAACAAACAGTGGTGGTGGATGTGAGATTGCGGTGGCTAGAAGATGCAGATTGGGGTGGATGAAGTTAAATGGTAGTACAGGGCCGTAGCCAGAGTTTGATGTTTGGGGGGGGGGCACATACATGTAATTGATTGACGTCGTGGGGAGGTATTCAAAAAAGTTCAACTGATCTTGGAAAAAAATTTGGGGGGGGATGTGCCCCCCGTGCCCCCCCCCCCCCCCCCCCAAAGAAACTGCAATTACTCGAAATTTCTGCAATTTTTTTCCAGGGTGTGATTTATTTCCTTCAACAATGTCTGCAAACACTGATACATCTGTTGGACCAGGTCCAGATGCACCACGACAGGACCAGCAACCCTCGTCATCCAACACTCCAGAATCCAATCCTCAAACTGGCAATCAGCAACAACAGGCACAACAGGAGAGCCCGCCACCACCTCCTCAACAAACCGCCGCACCACAAGTCGATGCGGAGCAGGCGTTGCCCAACATCCCAGCCGCACAGAACGCAAACAACGCCCGAGCCAACAACAATAACAACAACAACCCTCTTCTCAACGTGAGGGATCGTCTCTTTCATGCTCTCTTCTTCAAGATTGCTATCACTTATGCCCGAGCGTTCCCTCCTTCTATTCGAAGATTCTTTGAATTTGCTATCCTCCTCAAGGTACAGTAAGATAAATTAACATGCTCTTATGAGTCAGTAAAATTCAAGAGTATCACAATACAAAACTTAAGACAAATAAATGTCAGAGCCTTAATTGTAACAATGATCAAAGATATATGTATAGCAGGGATGCAGGCAGCCACAAAAGAAATTTAATTTCAAACCTCTATTTACAAAAAATGAGAGGCAAGTTTGTCAATCAATTTTGCTATTTGGTATTCAAGATCTTTAGAGGTAGCAATGTAAGCTTTAATACCATGAAAACTGGGGGATTTGTTTTGAAATTTGCAATTATAGACCTGATATTTAAGCATAGGAAACAAACATGTTAGGAATCTATCAATTTATCATAACCAAACATATTTTCAAATATCAAAACATTAATGACTTTATTCTCCTTCTAATTAATATCCTTCATATTACCCAAATGTTATAATTTATTATTTCCATTATCGTTCATGTCCAAAGTCTCATGGAATTTACATTATGAAGATTTTATGTTGATCCTGTTGGGATTTTTTTTAAATATATAACTGCAGACAGTTTAATTGACAGCAATCTAACAATTCTGATGTTTAACTTTTATCCCTAAAACAGGCCTTGACAGCCCTATTTGTCCTTGCGTACATTCACCGAACATTCTCTCGTTCACCAATCAACTGCCTGGCGGAGTATCGTGACAAGTGGCCACGTGATGGTATCCTTAGAGTGGAAATCGTGAGGAATCGCAGCGATGAAAGTCCCATCTACGAAGTCTCGTATGGGAGAAGAAAATTGGGTATGTGAATTTAAAGTTGCCATTTGTGTAAGCCTTCTAGTGTGGTAATGATGTACTTTAAATTATTCAAATATGTTGGGGGGAAAACATGGGATGGTTTTGAGCAACATAAGGGGTAGAGTGATAAAAGTAATATCCAAGTTTTTATGTACATGTATGTTAATTTTTGTTTGTTTTGCTACAATTACTCAATAAGAACGACATTTCCTATCTATCCAGCTAGAAGACATGTTCAAAAGAATGTTGTGTACTACATGTAGCAAAAGTGAAAAATAGAGCTTTCTTATTATTTTCATTCCAATGTACAAAAATATTGTAATAGTTATATTCAATGAAAAGGGTCTTTTCTCCTGAAGCACTCATATATTGCAAATACCTGTACTGCTAGAAATAGTTCCCAACTTTGACCAAGTTTTGACCATTTTTGAATGCCCTATGCTTGTGTAGTCCCATGTAACTTATATGTGTAGATTATTTTTATTGTAAGTGATATGCAACATATTAAAGATAAAGTTGAGTTATGGTCATGCGATTGCATTGTAAAAGAAACGGTGTGCAATCGATCAGAGAAGGTTGATCATCTAGCATATAATTATTGGTGTGTACTGCAAGGTACACAGAAAGATGTATATGGGACTCCATGAACATGTGGCATAAAAATCTGTCCCGATTTTTACGCTGTTACACGTCATATTTAGAATATGAAGGCATTTGAAGAACCATGCTTTTCAGGGAACATCTTTTATCTGATGTTCTTCCATACTTGCATAATAACATTGATAACGCTCACCAATTATTTTTCACCTTTTCCCAGAACTCAACCTTCTCTTTAAGTCAATATGTTACAAATTTGCATGTTTGAATTTTGTTTGTGGACCACCCTGGTAATATTCTTTTTTAACTCGCCCATTACAGGAGGCATGACAAAGATTGAAGACGACGAGACGCAGTATGCCAATATGACCGTGATGCCGCCTTACTGGGAATACCCGGACATTTTAAAAGCGGAGGATGCGCTGCGGAGGCGGGAGGAAGAGAGCGCAAACACCGTCCAGACATCGTTCTTTAACGGTCTCTCGTGGCAGACGACGAACATCACCATCGATCTGCCCTCCACGCAGAAGCTCGATAAGAATATGCAGCCGTTCCAGGAGACAGTGTCAGAGTTTGAAATGTTTACAAGAGCAGGTAACTTCATGTTACTTTTCCTTTCTTAATAATAACACAATTATACTAAGAATATGACACCAATCCAACAAAAGATTGAAAATTAAGTCACAATACCCGTAATGGCCAAGAGTTTGTCAGTTTAGAGTCAGTTTGAAGTTGATTTAGCAGTGTGATTGAGGTACTAGCCTTTACATGCTTTCTTGTCCTACAGTATGTAATTGAAAGCTCTGATTTTGAAACAATACTAGAACTATCCACATGACTGCTAGAAATTAATATACTGTATGTCATCTTACTGAAAATTAAAACTCTTTATTCTTCTCCTTACATGACAGTTAGGCCTACAGTATTAGATACTTTTCCAAAAGCTTTAACAAAAAAATCTGGTATACATGAATTTTGTACTCATTCTTTTTTTAAATAAAACTTCTAATGCTTTGAAGTAGGTCTTGATACAGAAACTTCATTTGTTAGAGGTATCCTGGAGTTTCAGCTAATCCCATCTTTACAAATTTCCTGGACAAGTTTCATCTACTTGTGTGGACATACATGTAATAAGCCAAGTGATTTTTCTAACAGTTTTGTGCTGTCTGATGCTTTGAGATCCTGTCCTTTCTTATATATACTTAATGTCTTTTTGTTTTCTTTGTATGCAGTTTGGCCTGTGGATGAGTACATCATGGAGTATTCATTGGAATATGGTTTCCTGAGGCTATCATCCGGTACAAGGGAGAGACTAGGAATACCTGTTATGGTCATTCAACTGGGTAAGACTCGTTGAAAAGAACTCATCCTCAGATCACCTTGGATAATTTGTTATAGTATTTGAATAGAGGTAGAATGATATTGCTTTTCCCTCTTTAAAGGTAGTATGTCCCATTTGCAGGCCAAAAAAATGAAAAGGTTAAATTCCAATGGAATTTAAAAGCTAATTCTAATTTAGAACTTCTGTCTGAACGAAAGGGCTTTGAAAATGTCTTTTTGTTAGAAAATAACGATGATTAGTTGTCAAATCGACATAAGTGATTGCGATCACTTAGGTAAATAGTCTGATTTCAGACCCTTGTACCAAATGGTCATATAGTTTGTGCTGTACAAAGACTCAATCAGTTTAATTTTGGCCATTACGAGAAGTGGGTTATTGATGTAGACAAATGCCCATGTACCTTTACAGCTCATTTATGTATGTTATTACCAAAAAAAAAGAAGTCAGTCAGTCACTCAATAGTGTCTGACAGGGAAGTCTAGAAAGTAAACAGGTTTCCTTGCACAATTTTAATACTAGAACACTGCTAACGTTTAAATTTTACAGATAGGACATATTATCTTAAATAAGCCATCATTTTGTTATTTGGTCAGATAGATAGATGTCATTGTGTATGTCATGTAATGTATTTATTTCTCAGGGACACAAATATGCTTTCTGTCGTGCAATCAGCTTCATGAGGTTATGCCAATACATGAAAGTTTATTTGACTACGTGTAGCAAATATTTTGATTATCATAAATTGATTCATTACTTTTACTTGTCATTTTTAATGTTGTTTTTCTTTGATTCGATTTGAAATTACAATCATGCAGTTTTTATGTATGAATGACAATATTTTATTAAGTAATGAATTGAAAGGAAACAAGAGTTATATGCTTCAATATTTTAATGGAATAACATCAGAAAATCTCTTTGTTGATAATTCTAGCGTATAGATAACCACATTTTCTGAAGTTTATGCTGTTTTGCTCAACATGGAATCTTAATGTCTTATAAAATCTTTGTTGACAATTCTTAGACCCCACACAAGACGATTGCTTTGGCGATTCGCTGAGTCGATTCCTCTTGGATGAATTCCTTGGTTACGATGATATTCTGATGTCCAGTGTTAAGAGCTTGGCAGAGTATGAAGACAATAAAGGTATGTTCAAAATGAATGTTTGCAAAGCAGAAACAAGTGTCTGATAATTCCTGTAGTCAAATGCTTCTATTCAGATCCCCAAGGCTTTTAAATACTTTGTGGCAAGTTAGTAAACAGGTCCCATAAGTGAAAGCAGTTAAATTTAAATTTTTAGTTCTAAAAAAAATTCCTATGCTCAGCTTGTTAGCTATCAATGGCTTTCAGGCTATCATTCATCATTTTAAAATTGTGATCTTGCAGAGTGACCATAAATGAAATATAGTTTATTTATGTTGGTTAATTCAAGTTTCTTTCTCAAGTTATTTTTTATTTAAGAATTTTTAGGACCTTGTTTTACTCCTCTAGCTAAATAGCAGTTTCTTATTTGCACAACTTTCAGTTTAAAATATTTAAAAAATATCTCACCATCTCTAGCTTCTTCTCCTTTTTAAACATTTTCGTTTCAGGTTACCTGCGCAATGTTGTGACTGGAGAGCACTACCGCTTTGTGAGCATGTGGATGGCTCGTTCCTCGTACATCGCTGCCGGGTTTATCATGCTCATCTTCACCATCTCCATCTCTATGCTGCTAAGATACTCTCATCACCAGATCTTCGTCTTCATCGGTGAGTAGAACCACAATTGGAATTTTCACAATTTAGATATATAGTAAACTATTGATCTAATTCTGCTTGTTTATGTTTTCATTTCCCTGAGCTCCACCCGATGGCTGCTTAGTTACATTTGATGTAGGGGATTCGGATTGAAATTTCTTTGGTCTGTATGCTTGGGCCTTATGTTAACATTTGGGAAATAATGCGGTCCAGACACTTTCACGTATCCTAGGCGTCTGTCAAATATTGAACCCTAGCTCCAACTAATTTGTGATTTATAACTGATTTTTTTTTTTTTTTTTTTTTTTTGTACAGTGGATCTTCTTCAGATGCTAGAGATGAATACAACAATTGCCTTCCCAGCTGCTCCTCTCCTCACTGTCATCCTAGCTTTAGTTGGTAAGTAGGGATACCTCATGCAAACCTTTCTTCCCAAAACATGCTATTGAATTCTTGACCTGACTAAATCTCTGGTCATAACCACAGACCTGTCATATCAGTGTCGCCACATGAAAACTGTATTAATCACTCACGTCGTCGACAAAAACATACCCCAAAGTTGTAAATTCTGTTATAATTAGAGATTTTTTAATGATATTTCCAAAATCTTCTGCGTGGATTTTATTGCAATACGTTGTCATAAACAATTACAAGAGTTCAAAGGTTTGACAAAAGGCAGACTGAAAAGAAAATGGCGGATATCTAAGGGATTTATGCGTGGCATTGTAAGTGTTCACCCCTCCATGTTCTTATACAATACTTGGATTTTGATTCAGGTAATTGCCTGTTGTAAGTATTAGTCCCTCCTGGTAACAGAAGAAGCTTCAGTCATTATGTCACAGGAAATAAAATCTAATTGATTACCTCCCTCACATTGGATTGTTCCTACTGATTTGGCTTAAAGAGAAGGTTGAGTTCTGGGAAGAGGTGAAAAATAATTTGTGAACGTTATCATTGCCTTATGCGAGTGTGGAAGAACATCAGATAAAAAATGTTTCCTGAAAAGCATGGCTCTTCAAATGCCTTAATATTCTAAATATGGCATGTATCATAAAAATCGGGATGCAATTTTATGCCAAATGTGTGTGTAGTCCCATATACATCTTTCTGTCTACAGTGCTTGTAACTTTACCAAGACTGGGCCAAATTCTTATCATTTTAATGACTCCAGAACCTTGCAGTGCACACCAATACTTATATGCTAGATGATCAACCTTTTCTGATCGATTCCACAACGTTTCTTTCACAATGCTATCGTATGACCAGAACTCAACTTCATCTTTAAGTACAGAATATACAACCCCGCATCATATACATAGTGAATCAGGGTTTTAGTGAGGGTTAGGGCTAGGGATTATGGATACGATAGGCCCAAGGGTCAAGATAGGGTGTTCTTACATAGTACATGGGGTGTTCTTACATAGTACATTGTAACTTGTGACTCTTGTTTTGTTGTTGTTCCTTTGATATACAGTTAGCAACTAAATTATTCATACACCTTGTAAATATGATGTGTGTTTTTTTCTTCTTTTTGTTGAATTAGGGCCTTCGATGAATACTTGTAGACCGAATAAAAAAAGGCAGACATTCAGGGGATTTATGCTAGGCAGTTTGAGCTTTCACCCCCTTCTTATTTTCATTCCCTTCATATATTCATACAATACTGCGCGCACTTAGGCTGAGACTAGTAAACTGTTTATGTTTGGTCTGTCCTATTGTATGGAGCAGAAACATGGACAATAAACAAGGCCGTGGAAAAAAGAATAACATCTTTTGAAATTTGGATCTACAGAAGAATGATGAAAATATCCTGGAAACGAATAAAAACCAACAAAGAGATATTGCACATGGCAGGGCGTAAACAAATTGCACTAGTAGGATTAGTTAAGGAGAGAAAAATCAAATACTTTGGTCACGTTAAAAGGCACCAAAGCCTCTTAAAGGATGTATTGGAAGGAAGAGTGGAAGGAAGTAGACCTAGAGGGAGACCCAGAATCAACTGGGAAGAGAATGTCAAGAACTGGAGTGGACTAAAACTGCAAGAGTGCACCAGAATGGCAGAAGATAGAGTGAAATGGAGAGATGTTGCTATTAACCTCCGAACCGGAGAAGATACTCATACTGTGTGATTGTGTATAAGGACTGGAAGCGATCATTTCAGAGTTCTGTATATTGTATATCCTCTTGCATGAAATATAATTAAATTGATCACTTCCTTTCCACTAATTGTGTATCAGGTATGGAAGCGATCATGTCCGAGTTCTTCAATGATACGACCACAGCCTTCTACATCATTCTCATTGTATGGGTGGCTGACCAGTATGATGCCATCTGTTGTCATACTCAGATCACCAAGCGCCACTGGCTAAGGTAAAATCCGATGGCAAGATCCCAGTCTGTCTATTTCACACTCGTTGTGTTTAGACTTTGAATATTTGTAGATCATGTACAGTCAAAATTGTGTTTAAAGGCACATAAAAATGAAGTCTCGTGGGGAATTTGACACCGTTCTGGGGTTCACTAAATAATAGGTGTTATCAATCACCAGATTAGCCTTCAATGTTATGACCAAGTAGATTTATGTTATTCATTGTCTTTTCCCCATATTGGTAAAGTTCTTATCTCACATTTGCACCATCCAAAGACTCTTCTCGAGACGAGAGGTAATTTGTTGAGTGGACTACGAGTTTGCTGTGTGCAGACTTGTATACACCTATTAATGGTACTTCCCCCAAGTCTGGTGTCGGTGAATTATGACCTTCTGCTCATGGGAGCTGCTGAACCACCCACTTTATGTTCCAGTATTCATAGTTCCAAGTAAATATATTATGCATCAATGTGTTGTATACTGAAAGATATACTTGAGTTCTAGTATAAAAAGGAAAATGAATTCTCACAAAATCAAACGAAACTTACACTGAATGTTCAAGGTTACAATACAAATAAATGTTATTTGCGAAACAATTTTGGTTGAAAATGTGAACTGGATGAGTAATGAGCATAGAAAGATAAGGAAATCAAGGTAGGTAACCCCGACACAATTTGTGTAGTCCCATACACATCTTTCTATGTACAGTGCTTGTTACTTTACCAAGACTGGGCCAAATTTATTATGATTTTGATGACTCCAGAACTTTGCAGTGCACACCAATACTTACATGCTCAACTTTTTCTGATCCATTCCACACCTTTTCTTTCACAATGCAACCACATGACCAGAACTCACCTTTATCGTTAAAATACATTTTCAAGCCTTTTCAGTTCTCACTCTTTTTATTTAGAGTTTGGTCATATGTAGATCATAAACAGTCAAAATCGTATTTTAGTGCCAGTATTCAATCCTTGCCATTTATTTACCTTGTCTGTGCTGTTCTATTATTCCTTTCCAGATTTTTCTACCTATACCATTTTGCATTTTATGCATACCATTATCGCTTCAATGGGCAGTATAGTGGCTTGGCACTCATTACATCTTGGCTTTTTATTCAGGTAACTTGTTTTTTTGTGTTATTATTATGGATAGCATCTATAGAATAAAATGATGTAAAAACTTATGGTATCTGCTTAAGGGATTGTGATGACAGCACTTAAAACGTTATGGTTCCAGCGACTAGTTATGAAATCATAAATTGAAATTTTAAAATACAAAGCTTATAGAATTTGTTCTGTGCTGAGTATGTTCGAATACCTGTTGATACCTTGTCATGTGTCTGCTCCATGTTTTTCTTGTTATTGTTTATGATGAATAGTAAATTATCACCTTTTGATTTCTGTTGCATGAGATTGACCTGTGATATGAAAGTTGAGAAGATGAAATTTTCAAGAATACCTGCATCCTATATTCAAACTATGATTTGAATCAGAATTTAGAATAGGTCATTGTTTACATGAAGTATCATAAGAATAGTAATAGATTAAAAACTTTGTGGAATTTTACTAAATTTGTTATTTTTTGTGCATTTTCCAGCACTCCATGATCTATTTCTTTCATCACTACGAGTTACCTGCCATCTTACAGCAAGCCAGGCTACAAGTGTTACTGCAACGCAACCAGCACGGTGGCATGCATCCACGCATCAACATCAACATCAACCTTGGAGAGAATGCACCGCAACAACAGCACCCACAACCAGGCACCACTGACGGAGGGGAGGCCAACAACCAAGGAGGGGGTAACGCAACACCAAATGGCACGCCAAATCAACAGCAGCAGCAACAAGCTGCGCAGCCTGTACCTGTTGCTGTCGCTGCTGTACAACGTCCAGTGTGGCGGCAACGTCGCACGCTATTCAGCATGTACCTTGGGGCGCTACTAAATCGGCGGCAAGGAACGGCCAATGCTGGGGTTAGCCAGCAAACTGGGGTAGCTACTACTACAGCAGAAACATCAACCACAAACTCAGCAACTCATGCAACAACAAATACAGACGATAGTCTAAATGGGGAATCCCCCGGTAGCAGAGCTGCTACAAACCTTAGTAACTCCAATCAAAGCAAAGCCTCACAAGGAGAAACTGAAATTGGCAACACTTCGTTGTTGCAAAACCCTCAACTAGAAACGAGTAATCCCGTTTCATCATCGAATACGAGCCAATCAGACTCTAGTAGACTTGATACGTCGAAAGGAAGCAGTACGTTACCGTTGTGTGAAAACCTTTTACCTACAACTCAACCTTTGCCAAGTAATGCGCTTCAGGATTCTATGTTATTGCAAAGTATATCACAAGCATCTAGTGCTGCAGCCATGAAATCTAGTGTTGAAGAACACTGATAGTACTCCAAGGTGCATATAAAGCCAGTCCCAATGGAAACAACGTGGGATTAGGTTGTAGAATAGGTAGATCATATTCTGCTGCAGAAAACCTCAGTGAAACCAATACTGCTCTCTGCCAAGGTACTATTTTTAGGATAAAGTTGAGTACTGTTCATGCAATTGGGAAAACAGAAATAGATAGATGTGACTATGTGGCTTGAAAGTCCAAACATTGAAGCTCTTTGTTGTCATATTTTGAACTTAAAGGCACAAGAAGATCAATAATTTTCAGGGGACATTTCAACTGTGATATTTTTTCCAAACTGACATACAATGAATATTTGCCAAGCTGGCTTTTGTGTGTAAAAACATAAAATACCTGAAAGTCCTAAGAAGTCTTTTATATAGGCAAAGGTCATGTTGTTTTTCAATTGGAATAATATTAGTTTCTTAAAATTGATCACTCTATATATACATGTATGATTCATCATATATATCCAGTTTTCTTTTAGAATGACTTTTAACTCAAGAAAAGTTCAAAAGAGTCAATTAAAACTAGAACCTTTATATACAGGGTATTTTAGTGACGTCTCTACCACTGCTATGTTGTATTTTCAATAGCTCCATTTTTCGGTTCCTGTACCTAAGCATCATCATGCTTGCGTCATGCAGTTAGTGGTGCATTGTGGGACATGGCTGTTGACACATCGGGACATTGTGAGCAGCAGATGGCAGTATACTTAGATCTGAAGAAGTGTCAGTGTAATACCTTGCCTTCAGCAGTATTTAGAGTTGACCAGTATGTTTAAAAGTATTGGTTAATCTGAGGTTTTCTGCAGTATAAACTCTATTGATAATTTAGGTATGAAATGGGAATGTAAATATATATCTAACCAGTCAAATTACGTTTCTTTGAAATGAAACTTTGAGGATTTGAAATAATTTGTTTGTTATTGAAAGATGCATTTATTCTATAGTGAGAAGAAACAGATTCATGAACTCTACTGTGTTCATATGCTTAAAATCTAGGATGTCTGATTACGATGGTGAAACCGGGGATTTAAATGTTGAAATATTGTAATAAACATTGAATTATATCAATGCATTACACAGATTTATTGTTCAAAAGAAAACAAATGCACCAAATCGTCATTATGCTTGTCATTGTGGTAACGGGCTGTAATGCATTTAATACAGAGATGATGTATTTGTTCAAAAGAGAACAAATGCACTAAACTTCCTTATGCTTATCATTGTAGTAAGGAGCTGTACTTTCAGCATGAAATAATACCTTTAAAAAATGCCAAGCAGTACCGGTATGTCAAAAGTAAAAATGCGTGGAGGCATTTAGTTTTCCTATTCAGTGTTTGATATATTTCATTTATTTGTCTTGAAACGCTATATTGATAGCTTTATTTCAAAGCGATACTTTTGAGGTTTTAATACATTTATATGGTTTTAATCAAATCACATTTAGGGAAGTGGTAAGTAACACTTAACAAGTCAATAAACCAGAAAAGGGTACCTTGTTCCCTCAAATCAATAGATATATCTTCTTGGAGTTCATGTTTTGAATCATGTTGGTGACTTGCATCTTGCCTTTCTACCTGCAATGGTTGCATCCAGTATGCGTTTTTTTAAAACAATTTTCTAGTCCAATACTTGTGTCAAATGCATTAGGTGTCAGTAGCTAAATAAGTTCTCATGATGCTCATAAGTAAGCCATTCTCACACTCTACTTTTAAAATTGTTCATACTTTACATGCTTAAAAACAAGATGTATTGTCACTTTCATGAAATTAGCACTTTGTTAATTGCCATTGGATTCTTTTGAATATTATATTCAAAATTCACCGATCTGAATTTTCCACAAGCAATTATCATAAATCAAATTGTTAGATCTTATACCTGCATTTAAGCTTGGTCGTCCAGCTTTATGCTGCTCTTAAAGGTACTATGTCCCATTTGCAGGCCAAAAAAATGAAAAGGTTAAATTCAACGGCATTTGAAAGAATACTAATTTAGAACTTCCCTAAAAAGGGGGGGGGGAGGGCTTGAAAATGTGGGGAAATAACAACTATAAGTTGTCGAATTGACTTAAGAGCTATAGAGCCAGTAAGTACGGTAATAGTCTGATTTTCAGACCATTGCACCGAATGGTTGTACGTTTTATGCTGCGCAAAGATTCAATCATTTTAATTTTGGCCATTACAAGAAGTGGGTTATTGATGTAGACGAATGCTTATGTACAGCTCATTTTGTGTATGTTATTACCAAAGAAGAAAAAAAGGCAGTCAGTCACTCAATAGTGTCTGACAGTGAAGTCTAGCAAGTAAACAGGTTTCCTTGCATAATTTGAATATTAGGACACTGCTAACGTTTAAATTTCACAGATAGGACATACATGACATATTCATAATTCCTGCAAAGTTCTACAGAATTTGATGTTGCTGCAAAAGGGACATTATAGTATCTTTAAAGTCAACAACAAACATCATTCATTGCCTACCCCCTTTGTACTAGTAAGTTTAATATTGTCATTTGTATGATGTATGTATCACAAGAAATTGATCCCTTTTGTCACAGTGTAACATAGTAATTTACCACATGGAATGTTTTTCCATAAACTATAGTTTTTCCAATTATTTATTAAAATGTCGTGCATTTCCTTTACGCGATAAGTCTTGAACTTCTCTTTTAGTCAAAGACCCAGGCACAACATTACGTCCTGTTCATTTTAACTGGCAACATTGACTTTGGATGCACCATCTTGGGCTTTTCCATTTCCGGCAGTGTTTACATTGTGTTGTAGGGCCCTCCATCTGTTGTTGGTCCGTTTTTATTCCACTGACACAATCTATGGAGTCTAATTCAGTTTTAGGACAGAATATCGTACCATCTAATTAAGATTTATATTCACTATTCAAAGGGGAAAAATAGATAACTAAAAATGATGTGTATGAAAAATTTGGCATGGTTTTATTTCAATATAAGTCCAAATATAACAATCGTAGTTCTTAAGGACAAAATTTTAGATAAAGCTGTTACCAGAAATATCAAAATTATCAGTTGTCGTCTTTTGTACTGTCATTAATTTTTCTTCTTAATTACTTTTTGTAAAGGATACACTATATTTATGGGATAAGATACTCAGCATTCAAATCTGTGATATAATTCTGAAATGGAAAAGATGAGAAAAGTTTGAACATAATTGTTCATATATTGTTAGTATGGTGCTAGCAAGATTATGGTGTAATCTTTCTGCTTTTTTGTATTCTATTTGTTTAAAACCGGCCTGTATGAACAAGGGAAAAAACAAGGAAAATGGATATATAATAGCTTAAGCCTTCAAATATATTTCTGTTCCAGTATTTCAGACCTGAAGTAAAGTGAGGTTACAGTATTTGTATTTGTTTGCATTTCATCCAGCCCCTAGATAGTATTTTTTTAAGGAGATATTTCATTTGCATATGTATTAAAGAAGAGTACCTTGTAATAGATAAAGTATACGTAAACATAATTTGTTGATACAGCAAGGTTAAGAATCGGAGAACACAACACCCAAATTTGTCAGGGCCTTGGGGCAATTTTGCTATTGGTGCTTCTTGAATAGTCATTATAACTCTTTGAGTATAGTGTATATGTAAGCCCGAGGCAATACTTTTCCTTCTTACGATTATTTTCATTAGTTTAAATAGCCTGCCCCCCCCCCCCCCCGCCACCTTCTTTAGAAAATAACAAGATATTTTATCGAGGGTGAATATAATCATCTTCTTTTTCTCCATTGTGCATATACCGGTCTTTTCATTTCATATAGCTGTCCATTCTTTTATCATGCAAATAAACTGTAGGTGCAGGAAAATATTGATAAAAAGAGACACTCAAAGTATGTGGTGTGATAGAAAAGGTATATTTCTTGTTTTGAACATGTTCAAATAATTGTGGCTACTCATGCAAATCATTGGCTGAATCTTACTTTTCAGGGAGAGTTAGTACACAATGTGATTTTATCTCATTCGTGATTAATTCTTCTGCAATCCATTTTGTTGTAATATGATGAATATATACATAATTTCCATTGGAGTATGAATACTTTCATGGAATTTGCACCCTAAAGAGTGGCAGTATTTAAACAACATTTCTGAATAACAGTATTCTGGAACTCTGTTTTGTGCAGAATAAATCAGAACTTTTAAAACCATACATGAGTTTGCTCTTTCAAGTTTAATTGTACCTGACATGTTCTAATTTGATTCGATGTCATGCAAATCTGCACACAAACTGGATTAACTTGAATGAACAGAGATATTTTTGGCATGGTGCCAAACTATGAAAAGGTGCTAGGTGGTTGTCTTTTTCCTCCATGAATAACTCATCTCTATTTTAGAGCTGCCAATTTGTACTGATATTTAAGTACATGCACCGGTACATGTATGATGAAATTTCAGAATACACCCTATTCTACTGAATAGTTCTTGTAAAACACTGGTTTTTAGTTTTCCTTTTTAAATGGTTATATTGTATTGATTTGAGAAATATCAGATTTCCTTCAAGAAATAGTATTTGCAGTTGATTATGTACCGAAATTCACTTTTGAATGTAAGGGACTAATTATTTTGAATTTTCAAATTGCAAGATAATCTTACATGCTATCCTTTCATATTTCCATGTCACCTAGCTTGCATGATGCTACTGCCAGGTTTTCAGAAATCTTCTTATTAGGTTTAAATTGTTCATTTTCTTAGCTATGCCTTGACTTGTAATATGCACTATTAAAGAAGAGAAAGCCATTATTAAGATTCGGATGAGTTCCTAATCTAGGAACTTTCCTTTTTAAATGTAACTATATAAAACTACTTCAGATGAAAAGTCAGTTATTTTACTTTTACATGCGGTTAAAGCTTTCCACAGGACTGAACAATGCTTTGTCAGATTGTCATTATGCCAGAATTAATGATATCAGAAAATTTAATATTACACTTTTTCTTTGTTTCTTAATTAATTCTCCTCTGATTAAAATATGCATTTATTACATGTCATACACTCTTTGTATTTTGCTGTATTTTGTTTGATGCTGAGAGAAAGTTTTGAAGAGAAAGAGAGTAGATGATCAAGATGAAAATTCCTTGAGGTTATTACAAGGGAGTAGTTTGGAAGGAAGAAGAGTTGTGGAGAGATTTGATATGAAGTGAAAGAGAGCAACAAACAAAAAAGAAATAAAGATATTCAATGAAGGTTGAATCCCATCAAAGAATGAAATTCTGCATCAAATTTACTCATACAAAAATTATTAGATATGAATGTATCAGGGAGTAGACATATGGAAGCACATGTAAACATTTTGCCAGAAAAGAAAACTCTAAGGCCCGAATTCACAAAGGAGGTTTGTCGACAAACCTTTGTTTGACGCGATTTTACAAGCCAGGTTTGTAAAAAAAAAAAAAAAAACGCGTAAAAAGGCGTCATATGATGCACGAAAACCAAGGTTTGTCGACAAACCTCCTTTGTGAATTCGGGCCTAGAGTCGGGACACATCGAGAATCGAGATTGGATAATGCTGCGAGAAGCTTTTTCCCATTTACTTTTACCGAAACCGCTACCATACACAGAATCTGATGCGGGTGAGTTCCCCTTTCTTTTTTTTCGAGTAAGTGAAGAGTGTTTAAATTGTACAGGTATGTGATATTATGTTTACCTGTGTATGAAGTACAAGTGTAATTTCGATAACTTTATTGTAAAATAATAATTTCTGTGTGTGATGGCAGCTAATAACGTTCTTTTCTATGGTGGAAATTGGGCGTGGTTTGTAGGGGTTACCACCGTGGTGAGCATGCTCTGTGCCCGGAGGTTTGGGGGACGTTGTCCTCGCTGAACCGGTGATTGTAATGCAGTGGGGCAAGACCCGAGTTCTTGTCTAAACTTTCCGGTATACAGTGCGCTCTAGACGGCTTAGACTATATGTAACACCGCCCTTGTAACTAATTCCTTTTCACATAATCATTTTTAATCTTAATTAAGTATTTTATATTTTATTGGGCAAAGTAAAACTCAAACTGTTAATGATTAATTCAACGTTCTAGACCTAGACGATAGGGTCTAGACTAGTCTAGGTCTAATGTTGTATTTTTGATTTCCTTATTCTTTGAAAGGCCAATTTATTAGCACGACCAAACCCGGCTTGTTTAGGTAAGGCATAGTAAATCGCCTCAAAAAGCTGCTGCGGTTTGTAAATGAATGGTAACTGCATGCTAGAAAGAACTTTCACATAGTCATTGATGACTGTGTTAACATAAAAACATGCAGAAATATGAGCGTATTACACTTTACGGCTTCACATCTTCAGAATCAGATCATATTAAACTAACGTCGCGGTTTAGCTGCATCATTTTGGAAGGAGCCTTCATGCATTGCGTATAATGTGCTAGTCTTTAGACACATGATGTGACCGAGAAATGAGAATATTGATTCATTTGATTTTTAGTGTTTTTTTTTTCTTCCTTAGTCTATTTGTTGTTATGTTTTATTTTTATCATTATAACTCCTAATCTAACGTTAGGATATTATTAAGACACTCCACTTTTTTTATTGGTGCTTTTCATTATCAGTACTGACCTGAGACAGACCTTAAAGGATAAAATGGAGAAAGAAGGAGAAGAAATGCCCGCTGAATCTGGAGAGAATTTTGATGTTCATGATGAGAATACAGGAAACATTGATCATGTCAGGGACAGACAGGAACCAGACAATGCTTCAGAGGTTGTGTAAGTGGTTACTATTTTGTTTGCTTGCTTGTTTGCTTGTTGTTTTTTCTTTGTTTATTTTTGTGCTTGTAGTTGTTGGATTGTTTATCAGTGTTAATGTCAGTGTTGTTGCATTGTATTTGTCACTCCAAATTCATGATCTTTTAAAAAGAAAGTTAGGGATTATGGTGGTGCAGCTGATGGAAAATTACTTATGATAATGATAAGAAGAAGAAGGAGGAGGAGGAGGAGGATCCGAGGAGGGGGAGGAGGAGGAGGAGGATCCGAGGAGGGGGAGGAGGAGGGGGAGGGGGAGGGGGAGGGGGAGGGATCTTGTTTACTATTTCCATTTTAATGTCTACATAAGGGGCTGATTACCCTTCAAACAGAAGTTTATTTCAATGGGTCCACACATTTTGAAAACAGTTACAACTGAGTATACATATACAGGGTATGTAGAAAACAATCTGTTTGTTGTCTGCTGAGTGGAGAGCTGTATGGTAGACTTCACCATGGGAGCACCAACTGATGAAATGATGTAATGATGAGCCAAATGTAGATATGTCCTGCTGGCCTTTTTAGTGTAAATTAATCAATGTGATTATGATTTAATTTGAAATTGTTTTTTTATAGAACAACTTCATTAATTTGATGTGTCAGAAACCATTTGTTATGTCGCTGATTTTATTAAAATCTTTGTTTCATTCTTTTCTAGGATTGATCAGGCCAGCAGCAGTGGGCTGCAAGCAGACAGTGCAGACGAAGCCCAGATGGGGCCGACCCCGCCCCCACCCAAGAGAACGACCAGCCAGGCTGGGAGGTCAGAGTTCAGGTCAAGAGGTCCATCAGAGACGGAGGCAGGGGCCAGTGATGAAGACGGTGATAGGAGTATTGTGAAGGGACCAAGGTTACCAGGAGTCAACTGTCCAGAGAAAATAGTAAGGGGTTTTCTGTAGAGAGTGAAAGGTGAGAGAGAGAGAGAGAGTGAGAGAGAGAGAGAGAGAGATGGATATTTGGGAGAGATAGAGAGATAGATATTTGGGAGAGATGGGTGAGAGAGAGAGAGAAAATAGTAAGGGGTTTTCTGTAGAGAGTGAAAGGTGAGGGGAGATAAGGGGAGGGAAGGAGCAACAAGAAGAGAGTGAAATAGGGGCAAGCGAGAGAGATGAACAAAAATGGAAGGGAAGTGGCAGGCCTATGAGAAGGGGCCAAGCTCCCGGCTGTCAAGAGTTCAGAGAAAATATAGATTGTTTGTATATACAGGTCAAGAGGAGAGTGAGAGAGGGAGCAGAGGCTATGTGGGAGGAGGGAGCGAGAAGCGAAAAGAGCTTAAAGGGGTATGTTTAACAATGTTAAATCTGAGATTCATGGCCCTATGCGTTATCAGTGTCTGTGATATGCTGTTATATTGAAGCCCTAAAAAAATTGCACTTCAAAATATCAAGAAGTGCCTCAAAAAAGTAAAAACCTTGGAGTGAGTGGTTTTACCATACTCGTTTTCCCCTTTAGACTGTAGTGTTATGAAAAGCGTTTGGCAAACACAAAGTTTGATTTCGATTTTCAATCATAAATATCTTGATAATCTGACAGACGATTGGCTTGTAAAAGTCATGGTGTTCCTGATTAACCTAAAGGTCTATTAATTATCATTGCAGCATGAGCTAATTAAAGGATTTTTTTAAAGGATATAAGGCAAAGTTACCGGATCCCTTTAAAGGGAAAGTCCACCCCAAAAATAAGTTTGTTTCGAAAGAGGCAGAATAATAAGAAAATCAGGTGAGTGAAAGTTTGAGCAAATTCTGAATGAAAATAAGAAAGTTATGAATTATTGAAGTTGTGATCAATCAAACACAAATTGGCAACTCTATGACATATCATGCGAGCTCAACTTCCATTTGCTCAGTAATAAAAAAAATCTAAAATTTTCATTTTCCCTCAAGAAAAATTCAACCATACATGCACCCTAAATATAATAATTGCAAATATGTTTCTATACTCCCCCTGCAAGGAACAAATATATATTCCGTCATCAATAACGAAGAAAACATGATTTTATGGAATATTATGCACAAAGCAAATGAAGGAGAGCTCGTATAATAAGTCACAGAGTTGCCAATTTGTATTTGATTGATCACAACTTCAATAATTCATAACTTTCTTATTTTCATTCAGAATTTGCTCAAACTTTTACTCACCTGATTTTCTTATTATTCTGCCTCTATCGAAACAAACTTATTTTGGGGGTGGACTTTCCCTTTAAAATGGAGACAAAAGGAACAAGACAGAGCATTACAAAAGGAGAAAGGAAATGGAAAGACATGTTTCAACACACAATCCAACAGACATGTAGTTATACATTGGGAAGGAGTAAACTTGGGAACAGTTTAAAGCCCCACTGCACTACTTGTAGCTACTTGCTCCGTCTATATAGAAAACAATGCCTAAGCGGCGCATGTTGGTCCCCCATGATCCTCTTTTCCTTATGTTGATAGAGAGCTGAGTTGATGAGATAAAGACCTGTCAGTGACCACGATGGGTGGTCTAATCCTTCCTGGCCAAACTAGTGCAGACGGGCTTTAAAAGAGATGAAACTAATTTTAAGAGTGCTCTGGTAGTTGCAAATAATTTTGGAAGCACAGGGGAATTATTTGTTAGTCCAGAGGATGGAAACTTGTTCTTAACAATGAGCTATCATGAGATTTAAATTACAAAAACACTTGAAATATCTACGTAATACCCTTTTGGGAATATATATCGTGGAATTATAAATATTCAAATGTGTTTTAAGAATGGAAATTAATTGAACTGTTTTATTCATCTCCTCATAGATTATCTGTTTAGACCTTGCAAGTGAAGTCAACAGAGTGCCTTTTCTACAGAGAGATGGGTGAGTACAAACAAAGGAATAACGTCCTGGGCATTGTTCAACAAAACTGTCATAAGTACAAGTTTTCCGACATCTCTTTGAAACGTGTGTATTAAAAATGAATTGCTTCAATTTGGATGTCGGCAAAAGATTCATGAAATGCTGCCCTTATATTTTGAATTGTGTATACTTCATTAAAAAACAATCGTAAGTTGTTCACTATAAGGTCATATTTCACTACTTGAAATGAAACCAATACATGTATATCATTCATTTGAATAGAAAGGAAAAAGACAGATCACATCTAATTAATTTATGTATTCATAGAGTTCAAAAGGAAATAATTCTGAACTGCATATACTGTACATGTTATACAATTATTCCCTCTTTCATTTGAACAGGACGAAACATCTACCCATTGAGCTGGTAAAACGGGCTCTGAGTATGTTTATACGAACCAAGAGTAACATCAACCCCAGACACCAATTCGCATTGGTGGTGCTACAGGAGAGTGCAGTATGGGTAAGAGTCCATTTATTGATCATTTTAAAAAATGGCATTGTCAAAAATCAGACAGGTTGCACAATGTTGGTGCACTGAATTCTTTGTATTCTGTTCAAACTGTCTTTGAATTATATAATTTGGTTGTAAACTTGTCATCACAGGCCTGATAAAAACCTGATTTAAATTTTCCAGATTTTTTTTTTTCTTTCTTCTTCCAGATTTTTCCCTTATTTTCTCTATTCTTCCCTATTATTTCCCAATGTTTCTTACTCAAAAGGGGGCAAATGTTGTTAGATACCATTTTTACCCCCAAATCCTCTTCTTCTTTTTTTTACTCAAGGGTACGTGGTGTGGTTGAGGGGGGGAAAATACTTTTTTTTAGTGCTCACTATCACCCCTACATCAGTTATTTCATGCAAGGCATCTTGGTAGTACAATGTCACTGTCAGAAAAACCCTGCTTTAGTAAGAAATGAAATAAGCACCAAAACGTAAACCTGAAGTTTTGTATGCCTTATGAATAGTCAAGATTACATACATAACTTCATTCTCCTCGATCCTCTTCATCCTGATTTTTGATTTTTATTTCTGCTTTCAAAAGCTGCAAGACTTCACGTCCGATGTGGAGGAATTTCTCAACGTGATGTTTGATCTGACCAGTGAGACGCGGGATTGTGAGTCATGTGACCTGACGTCATTGTTTGAAACCATGTAAGTTGAGCAGTGGCTTTCAACATTTAAAACTCATTTGTGGTAGTGAATGGAAAGACACATCAGTGGCAGATGGGGGTGGGGTTCAAAGGGGACACATGCTGCGTTCCCCCCCCCCCCCCCCCCCCCACCTCAAAAAAAAAAAAGATAATAATAATAATAATAATGATAATAAAAATTAAAATAAAATGAAATAAAATAAATAAATAAATAGATAGATAGATAGATAGATAGATAGATAGATAGATAGATAAATAAATAAAATAAAAACTTGAAAATGTGAAGGCAAAAATCCATTTTCTTTTCTGTGAAAGAGTGCAATATGAGCATGGTTGGACGCTCTTTAAGAATTTAAAGTTTGTTTCTGACTTGTAAAAATGGAATGCTCTTAAGAGGATCTACAAGAAAATGAAGTTGGGAAAAGGTCCTCTCGAGGAAGCATGGTCTGGGCACAAAGTGATTGGCTAAGAACCCCAAATATGTGTAGTAACCAAGAATATCTATACCAGGAAATATATCTATATCTATGTCAATAAAGATGAAAGTACACATAGAAAAATAGTTTTGACAACCAAAATTTCCCAGGAGTTGAGAAAATATGCCAAATGTTGGAAGTTGATTTCAATGTCAATAACCATTATCGTAATGTATTCAAATTTGTACACGTTTGGGTAGTGACGAACTGTTTCATTTAGCTGTTATGGCATTTCAATAATTAGAAAGCTCATTGCGTACATTAAAGGCATCGTTTAACAATCTTAAATCTGAGATGCATGGCCCTACGTGTTATCAGTGTCTGCAGACTATCTGCAATCAATACTGAGTTACTTAGAAAAGACTTAACTGAAAGTCGTCTTTGTGATGGAACACCCAGTGATGTCACTGAATTAGCGATGTTATATGACACAACTCTCAATGACCTCTTAGACAAGCATGCGCCAAAGGCAACAAAAACTTTTGTTTTGCGACCTAAGGCGCCATGGTTGACCGATAGTATATTAGAAGAAAAGAGAAAAAAGAGGAAAGCTGAAAAAATTTGGATGAAATCAAAAACAGACAAAGACTGGAAAGCATTTAAGTCAATTCGTAACTCTTACTCCTTTTCATTGTATGAGGCACGGAAGAGTCACCATAAAGATTTAGTGTCTGAACATAAAGAAAACACGAAAGCGTTGTTCAATATTGTAAAGGGTTTGCTAAACATGTCAAATAAACAACCCATTGTACCTTGTAACGTTGATTCAAAATCATTTGTCAACAACTTGGGCAAGTTTTTCTTGGATAAAGTTCAGAAAATTCATAACTATATAGATTTAAAACTTGGCAATGTACACGTAGACAAACTGATCAATGATGACGTTCCAGTCGATTCGCAGATAGTGACGCTGACAAGTTTTAAATCACTGTCCGAACAAGACGCTAGAAAATTGATAATGAAGCTCAGTAAGAAGTCCTGTCCATTGGACCCAATGCCCACAAAACTATTGCTGCAATGTCTTGATGAATTGATACCTGTTATTACCTCTATGTTGAACTTGTCTCTATCAGCAGGGCAATTCCCTGCATTGTGGAAGGTCGCTCTAGTGAAACCACTATTGAAAAAGCCGGGCCTCGAAACAGAATTGAGTAATTTAAGGCCCATTAGTAATCTTCAGTATATTTCTAAGTTGGTAGAAGGTGCTGCTACCCAACAGATTCTTGAGCACATTGAACATCATTCACTGTTGCCGCTCAATCAATCAGCATACCGAAAATTTCACAGTACTGAAACAGCACTTCTTAGGATAAAAAGTGATCTTCTTATGTCAATGGACAACCAGAAAATAAGTCTGCTGCTTCTCCTTGATATGAGCAGTGCTTTCGACACAATAGATCACTCATTTTTACTGAAAACTCTAAGAAGCCATTTTAGGGTTGATGGCAAGGTTATCGAATGGATTGAATCTTACTTGTCAGATAGAAAACAGAAAATTGAAATTGATAACGTTGTCTCTGATGTATTCAATGTGCCTTTTGGCGTTCCTCAATGGTCGCGATTAGGCCCTCTGTTGTTTACCTTGTATACAAGCAGACTCCTTACAAATATCCATAGAGAGTTTCCTAGTATTAGTTGTCACTGCTATGCAGACGACACCCAACTATACCTATCTTTCTGTCCTAACACACCGGCTGAAGATCATTGTATTTCTGAATTAGAATCATGTGTTGTTTATATTAAGATTTGGATGTTGCAAAACAAGTTGATGTTAAATGATAACAAAACAGAACTTTTGGTCATTGGTACTCCACGCCAGGTTTCTAAATTTAGGTCGCGTAGTGTATCAGTTGGTGACTCAACCATAACCCCATCTGATACTGTTAGAAACTTAGGTGTGTCTTTTGATACCCACCTGAATATGGATTCACATATCACTAAAATATGCAAATCAGCCTATTTCATGATTTATAATTTGAGACGCATTCGAAAATACTTTGATCAGGACAGCATGAAAACTATCATGCATGCATGTGTTACTAGTAAACTAGATTACTGTAATAGTTTATTGTATGGATTGCCAGACTCACAAATTTCCAAGTTGCAGCGGGTCCAAAATACATGTGCACGACTAATTTGCAGCCTCCCAAAATTCTCTCGAATAACCCCACTTCTAAAGGAACTACATTGGCTGCCAATTCGCCAGAGAATTACATTTAAAATATTAATGATAGTCTACAAAGCTCTAAATGGTCAAACTCCTAGTTACGTTACTGAATTGTTGCACATCAAGTCTCAAACTCATGGTCGTAACCTTCGTAGTACACAAGACACATTTATGTTGCAAATACCCCCATATAAAACCAAAGTAACCCTCGGGGACCGGTCATTTCTCTGTGCTGCCCCTAGATTATGGAATAAATTACCACTAGAAATAAGGAAAGCCCCATCACTAGATAATTTTAAATCAAAACTGAAAACTCACTTGTTCATATAGTATGTATAGCACAGCATTTACGAGCTCTTGCAGCACAATAGAATATATCCACATAGTTATTGCGCTTTACAAATGAATATTATTATTATATGCTGTACTATTGAAGCGCTTAAAAAATGGCGCTCCAAAATGATCACGAAGTACCTCAAAAAAGTAAAAGTCTTTGAGTGACCGGTTTTACCATACTCATTTTTCCCAATAGACTGTGGTGTTATAAAAAACGTTGGGAAAACATTTTTTTAAATTTTGATTTCCAATCATATATATCTTGATAATCAGACAGGCGATCGGCTTGTAAAAGTCATGGGGTTCCTGACTGACCTAAAGGTTGATAATTATGATTGTAGCATGAGCTAAATCCAGGATTTTGTTTAGAATCTGAGGCAAAGATACCCAATCCCTTTAAGTAGATGTGTCAGATGTAAGATGGAAAAGAAGACACTGCTTTACCATTGAGAAAATATTCTTCTTGGCATTTATAAAGGAATGACTGGAACTAGATTCTTAAAGCTATCTTCTTCTCTTTACTACAGTGTACATAAAGTAGAATTGCCAGTGATTGAAGACATCGAGGTGTTGCCTCCTCCTTACATCGTCAGAACGCTGTTTTTCTACGGAAGGTCAGCTCTCATACCCGAGTTTGACAACGGCCGAGAGGTGAGTGCCGGTGTAACAGTTTTGTATGTGTAGAAGCAGCCATATCTAGTTTTAGAAACCGCTCATTCATTGGCACACACACACACACATATATAGGTATGTGTGTAGAGTCTGTGGGGTGGGGAATAGGAGACCAATTCATGTGACGCCATGAAGTGCTACTGTGCGGAGTGCATGGTGGTTTCCATATTTCGCAATAATGCCATATCACATTATAAAGCTTCAATTGAAATTATTTTAAGTAGATTGGTGAATAGTTATTGAATACACTTGTATGCTTAAAGTTATAGACCAGTTCATGCGATTGCATTGTGAAAGAAAAGGTTGATCATCTAGCATATAAGTATTGGTGTGTACTGCATGGTTCTGGAATCATCAAAATGATAAGAAATTTGGCCCAGTCTTGGTAAAGTTACAAGCACTGTACACAGAAGGATGTATATGGGACAATGCGATATCTATCCAGGCCGGATAGATATGATAATTTACAAAATATATCAATTATTAGGCGGTTTCCTGGCAAAATTGTTATCATCACGTATTAGTCAAAATATAATCTTTCACATGATTGGTAATGAGAGCTTCCATTTCATTTTTTGAGAGGGGGGCATTTCCAAAACTGGTCTATACCATTAATGACTCATGCTCTAGCAATTATTTCTTTGCAGTCAATTTTCTAACATTCATGGCAACTCTAGACTAACCTATCTCAGCTAGGACAATCATAGAAATTTGGAAGTTTGAATGAGACTTAAAACAAAACCATGAACGCTCATTTGTCCACCACATGCAGGTAATTTTATGACAGACTAACAATACTATGATTTATAAGCAAACCACTCTGTAAGATGTATAAATGTTTGTTTGTTTTTTTCCCCTGGTGTAGGCTCAAGTAGCGCTATCCGCCTCACCGTATTTCTTCTTTGATGTGTTTTATCTTCATGAACCACCGTCCGAAGAAAACTGCTGCAAGGTAAATTTATTCAGAATCAGCTATACAGTCTTTGAGATTTGGTCCCATATCAAAATAGTATCCCATTTATTCTATTTCTGAGTTCCTTACACCATTGTCTTTTATCCACAAAAAAAACAAATCACATGAGCTTCTTTATGGTTAAACTATTAATTGTAAATTCTGTCATGGCCCTTTAATTTTGTAAATACTTGTTCTTGTGCAAGACTTTATAGATGGCACTGCCAAGGTCTAGTCAGCACTGTCCTCATGTGCTGGCTTTGTGTAGTAGGTCATGTTCCAAATATACAATTTTTATTACAATAAAAACTGTAAAGACAAATTAAGCGAGATAAAGAATAGGGGTCTTTATAGACAGTTGGTCATTATGTATTCATTCCATTATTATGCATTTCAATGAGAAACACTATTCAAGGAAAACCTACAATTAAACAAAAATTGTATTTTTAGATAGGTGGTCTTTCTGTACGGGGATTGCTAAGGCAGGGTTGAATGTATGTGATTGTGAGTGACCAATGATGTTGATTTGATACTTTTTTGGGGGTAATGTTTATACCTTTGCAGGATATCTATGATGTTTTCCTGGACCTTGACAAGAACAATACATCCTACATCCATGAGGTCGGACGAAACACAACCAATCTTTACAACAGGATGGCATCGCTGGTGGCTCACCCGCTGCAGAGACCTGAACAAGTGTTTGCTTTGTACTCCCTGGACACCGACAAATGAGAAAGACGTTTGGCAGCATGGTGTCTATAAAGGATTGAACCTGTTGCTTCCACCATGGATCATCAGTTGGTGTTTATCAGATATTCACAGGACATGGAACAATGATAAGACCTTTGGCAGAATGTTGTCCAAGGATTGAACTGGATGCTTTTATCAGGGATCATCAGTTGGTGTTCACCGGATATTCACAGGACATGGAACAATGATAAGACCTTTGGCAGCATGGTGTCCAAGGATTGAACCTGTTGCTTCCGCCATGGATCATCAGTTGGTGTTCATCAGATATTCACAGGACATGGAACAATGATAAGACCTTTGGCAGCATGTTGTCCAAGGATTGAACTGGATTCTTTTGTCAGGGATCATCAGTTGGTGTTCACCGGATATTCACAGGACATGGAACAATGATAAGACCTTTGGCAGCATGGTGTCCAAGGATTGAACCTGATGCTTTTGTCAGGGATCATCTAGCTGAAGACGTCAGTAGGTGTTAATATCATATTCCCTGAATATGGAACAATTGACAGGTCATTTTGCTGTATGGTGTCTAAAGGATTTTACCTGTTGCTTATGCCATGGATCACCTACAATGTACTTGAAGACCTCAGTAGTTGTTCACCTCATATTTTCTGGACACGTAACACGTAAGAATGATGGGTCATTTTCTTTTTGCATGGTGTCCTCGAGGATAGACATTGCTAGACTTCCCTAAGATACCTTCATGGTGGAGAAGATCATAGTGGTAAAGAGCAAGTAGCATCAAAGACTTAACTCCCATCTCGCTGCATAATCATGATGATGATGCTTCTTAAGGATTGTCCTTGAAGGCAGTTGCTACTTCCATGGATGATCTACCTGAAGACTTACGGTGTTCACCTCTTGTTTTCTGGACACAGAAAAATGATAGGTCAGACATTGTGCTGCATGGTACCCTGGAGGATTAATTTGATACAGAAGACATTTTTACGATCATGATGGGAAGAGCAAGTAGCTCAGCTGAGGCCATCCTTTATGATGATGGTTTTTGAGGATTGTTCCTTAAAGGTAAAGACCAGTTTTGGAAACGCCCCCCTTTAAAAAAATGAAATTGAAGCTCTTATTACCAATCATGTAAAAGAATATGTTTTGACTAATTCACGATCATACAACCATCCTTACAAAGTTGCTGCATGGCTGGCAGAATGCCGTATTGTGTTTATCGGTAGCTGTTCTCCTAAACAAAGGATTTTCACTCTTGCAAGAAAAGTTATCTGCATTAAACTTCCTTTTACTTTAAAGATATAAGCTTTATCTGATACACAACTACTCAAATTTGGTAGTTACCATCCATGTTTACTTCTGTATTAACTTGATAAAGAGAAAAATCCTTGTCATGTTTAAAAAATTGGTGCAACACGTAGAGGGCAATCAAACATTACAAGCCGGTTATCAGAAATTTGCTGTTTGGCAAAGAAGTGCTCTGAATGAAGTGTAATCTGATACATAAATGTATTATGGAAATCACCCACTATTTCCATATTGTGTTTTCATGCGTCAATAAATTAATGTACTGTACTTTCCTAAACTCCTTTTTTCTTGTTTCTATCCGTACATACAATCAGACTGTTGCATAATTTGTAGTTCTATATTTGCTTTTTTCTCTACATGATTATGCTAGCCAATGAAAAACAGTGAATAATGTTCAGGTTGTGTAATGATATCTAAGCAAGTCCACCGTATTTTGTTTGATACTAAACTCATCTAAATATTAGTATACCAGATGATTCTATCAAGTTGAGCTTGCATCAGACCAAATAACAAGGGAAACGATACAGTGTACTTTCTTCAATGTTCGTTTTTGTTTTGTTCTCTCCATTCTTGGTAAGGTTTGGGATAGCCAATGACCAAATACAGAGGAAACTCATAACAAGGTCGTTGGGACCATGGAAATCACCTTGTTATATCAGGAATCTTGTTATATATCAGGGTAAAAAAACAAAGAGCTGGGACCAGTAAAAGTACCATGTTATAGCAGATACCTTGCTATATTAGAGCCCTTTACAGTGTACTTTGGATTTTCTCATCTATGCCTTTATAAAGTTATATGGTGATCAAAGCAAATTTATAATAAAACTGAAATAGAATTGAAATGTAAATTGAAAATTTTGTCGACACTACTTAGAACAATGTTTTTTTGACAGCAGAGAATACGAGGCAAACACCAAGTTGGGTATTCATGATCTGTGAAAGAAACAACTTCTCTAATTACATTCTTCAGGATCGTACAGGTACACTTAATACACGACTTCCTGAGCAGATGTTCACCTCATATTCTCTGGACCCTGAAAAAACGATTGTTTGTGTTATGGACACTACACAGAATGTCATTTTGACTCGACGTTAGAAGGGCACTAATTTTTCTTTGCAAAAAGCAATTTCTACGGTAGTTTGATAAATGTATTTAATGGCAAAGTACTCTTTTTACTCTAGGTCTATTTCCATGTTACATACTCGCCATTTAATTGCAAGGATGACATGTTTGATGAAATGAAAATTTTAATAGGACAGAGCAGTCTCAGTAATCGGGATGTTTTAAATAAAGAAAAAAAATTGAATATATTACAGATTTAGAGGTCTATTAGTGCTCAATAAACAAGAAGTTAAAAGTGAGCCGATTTCCCCAGGACTGCCTTTCCCATCTTATGAAGAGCAGAGGCAGTGCTACCTGTAGGCAAGGTGGCAGAGTGCCCCCAAAAGTACCCCCGAGAAGTGCCTCTTATTTAATCTGATCAGTGCCCCTTTTTAAAAACGTTGAGTGCTTTTTTTTTATTCCTAGCCCGAGATTTGACATTGCTAAATACCGATAATAAAGGGCACTTATCGGATGAGAAAAGACACCAGATATGAAAAGGGGCCCTTAAGGGGGGGTCTTGAAAATAGGGTGTAGTGTATACTCTCTGCCATTCACAAGATGGGGGGGGGGGCTGTCCTTGGGGTAACTTTTGAAGGGTAATTGTACAGGGTGGGATGGGGTAGTAAACCAGGGTTGGGGTAGTAAACCAGGGTTGGGGTATTTGACCGGGAGGGGATACAGGTACATGTACTTCCAAAAGAAAGAACAGGCGGAAAATGTTAATGCTGCATCATCAATGATCACAATACCATTTATTATGAAAACAAAAGAACAGTTCATATATTTTCTCTTTTCAGGCAAGGAGCCTGCCATGAAATAGTCGCCCCATTTCACCCATACGATTTAATCCCTCAAAGTTACTAAAGACCATTAACAAATTGGTCATCAGTCCAACCATAGCAGTGGGGTTCAACCCCCAAAGCCCCAAAACAGACCCAACTTTGGCATCTGTTTCAGGGGCTCTGGGGGCTAAACTCTACAGCTATTGGTCTAAGAAACTTTGAGGGGTCGAATCTTATAAGTGAAATGGGGCGACTATATTTTGGGACAAGTTCCCAGACTAACATAAAATTTTATTCATGAATGAATCAGAACAATGCAGCTTGTTCAATAGATAACCTCTCAGCGATTGGTAGACAAATTTAAAAAAAGAAGAAAAACTAACATAAATACCTACATAAAATTATTCTCCTGCAATCACAACACAGAAAATAAAATGAAATATCGGTCAAGTGAGACCCAACAGAATTTCTAGTTCTAAAACACAAGAAAATACCATGAATTATGGGGAATATATGTATCACAAATTTAGAGTCCTTTTTCTGAAGTTAAAATGGTACACTAAAATGTAAACCTTTGTGATAAGATCATTAAAAAGGTCATCACAGATCTGTAATTCAATAAAGAACAATCACGCATAAAAAAATTGGACAATTGCAGAAGACAAAAATCTGAATGGGATGCATAACGAAAAAGGCGCATACATTACTCCCATCTTCTTAATGTAGAAATGATACATTAATGAGAGTTGCAGTGATCACTATCCCAAAGGTTATCATCCTCTGGAGAGAAAGCAAAGTGCCAGAAATTACATGATTCATATAACATGGAAAAATTGCCATGACAATAAATGTGATAATAATTTAACAAGTATTGCTCTTTCAGAAAAAAAGAAAATAAGTGATGTAAACTTCCAAATCCCCAATAAAGGACAATAAAATTTCCCCCGATGCGATGATGCCATTTACCATTATTCCATACAAAGAAACATCTTTTTTAATAGTATCACTGTAGAAATGGACCATCATAATATCCAATCAGTCATTTTGATATCTTAAATGAACATATTTCTCATCAATCCTACAGCCTATAATCCCATACTTCACACAGGAAATTTGAAATTCGGATGCATCTGAATGATCTCGATACCAGTTATAAAAGAATCAAGAATAATCTGTAACAGGTATAAAAGAACTGAGAATATTTTTTGTTTGTGTTATTAGAGGGTAACAACTTCTTGAGCAAGAACGTCACAAAGTTTACAAATCATACGTCCCACCTCTAGAGCAACATGGACACTTGCGGTCCATTCCCAGCATCATCGACATCAAAAACCCAGACTTACTTACAATGAAGGAACCTACCACTGAATATTAGTACTTGGTTCTTTAAGAAAATATTTTGAAGTTGATAAAATATTTTGAAGTTTGCTATACAAAAGTAGGTTGAATGTAAATGAAGTGCACTCCCCTCACCCCCTCCCCCTCCCCAAAACCGTCTTACTTTCCCCCTCCCACATGTTCAATCCTGATAAACCAAGGAATAATTAATCTTTGCGCAAGAATCTCCCTTTGATGTATGAAAGTCTCTTTTTAGTCCAAGGATCATTTTACAATTCATCCCTTTGCAATTCCTCTTCCTCTTCCTCCTCCTCCTCCTCTTCAAAATCACCCATGTCCAGATCTAAATCATCCATATCCAAGTCTTCGTCGTCTTCATCACCTTCTTCATCATCGCCTCCCTCTTCTTTCCTCCTCTTGTCCTCCTCCTCTCGCTGTTTCCTCTCCTCCGCATCTTGCTCATCTTTCATTTTCTTTTCTGCTACCTGCAATGTCAAAGATACCGGATCAAAAAGGGGGTTACAAAAGTCTGGCGTTCCAACATTTAAGACCAAACACTTGCAAATCGAACGGGACAGGTGTCTATTTATGTGATCCGACCTTCGTCCGCTCTGGACCTTATTACATTAAAAATATAGGGTCAGGCTTTGGGATGAAATAGGGTGTTAGGATAGGTTTAGGATAGGTTTAGGGTAGAAGAGTTGTACAATACTGATTTGATGTCTCCTTTAAATCTCTTGGGATATCTTTTGAACTATAATTGCTATACAGGAGCAGGAAAGCAGTACATCATGCTATTCATGAATAAGAAGCATTTGATCATCAATGACACTACATTCGCAACACAATGTGAAAATTAATAATTACTCTTTTCACATATAAACAGGCAATCTTAAATTCACATCGATTCATTTCATATACATTTTTTATAACAACCAAGAAGAAATGAAAATAAGAATTATGAAATGAAGGAAAAATCATAAATGTTAAGGGTTAATAGATTCATTTCATTCAAATAATATTTACCTTTGTGACTTCAAATAAATCCTTTGCTTGTTTCTCTGCTTCTTCAAGATCGTCTGTTATAAGAACGTTGTCAAAAATCGTTCCAGATTTAACCTGTGGGGGAGAAAGCATCACAAGCGATACAAGTTACCATCTCTTAGACATCTCTACTAGAATCTTGAGAGACTTACAAAGATAACGCTGAGTTCTGTTTGTGGGACTGCATTGTTAAAGACACTGTCTGGAAGCAATTTTGACAATTTTAATGTCATAGCCATTGTTAATAAAAAATTGACGTCCTGTATACTGCGAGATTCGGATTCACCAAAGTGATAAGAGACAGACTCAGTCTTGCTGTAAGTCACTGTATGTATTGTACAGTATACACAGAAATGTGTATATGGGATTAAGCATACAAGTGGCGTGAAAGTGTGGAACAAATGGAATTGATTCAACAAAATCGGTGTTAAAATTGACGCAATGGCATTTGTATGTAAGGAAAAATATTAAAAAATATCAAATGAAATGGAACCCCCCTCCTTACTTTCAAAACAAGGAAAATGAGGAGCACACTATACTTGGCCTTAGACTCAGTTTGTGAAGGTCAAGGGCACCTAATAAAGCCTGCTTTACACATTTGATTGATTTCTTCGGAATCGAGGGGGGTGTTTGCAAATCATCATTCATCATAAAACCAGGACCTTTTATCGTCAGTTAATTATAATAATAATAGGCATTTCTATAGCAGGGTCTATCTAGATAATTCTATTCCGAGGCGCATTTATTATTACCCCGGCTTTAGCCTAGCTGCCGTTTATACAGCGCTCCAGCATATCAAGGAATTAAATCCTGCCAGGTACCCATTTACATCACCTGGGTTGAGTGTGGCAAGAAGGGTGTGTGGAATGATAATAGGACTCGACTCCCTTCTGGCATTCAACAGACGAAATGAAACAACGTATGGGCGAGGAGACATCATTTTGACTAACCTGCCATAAATCAAAGCCAATAGCTCCAAAGCTTGGGTAGCTGTAAAGGTTTTCATCGGCTTCATACTCGGGGTTCTCAATCTCTGGATGTACCCATTTTCCGCTGTAGTTGGGGTTCTCAATTTTCTTAGGTGCCCATTCTCCCTGTGGGATTTAAAAAAGAAAAACATACATTATATTGCGATCATCGAGAATAGATGGATAGATTAAGAAAATGTGAATTCAAAACTTGTCAACATGCATAAACAGAAATAAATAGCCAGCTACATGACGACTAATAATTTGTATTATAAAATGGCTCTAGTATTTTAAGCATCGTGATTGGTCAATACGCGTCACATGACATGTACAAATTTTTGATGCAAGCACGATTTTGCAGAAAAAAGCACAAAAAAAGTTATAATACACGTTACCATGGATATCCAGCGCGCGCGCGGAAGTGTAGTACGCGCTCCCTCGAGTGCATTGCAATTATTGTAGGCTACGCGTAGCTAATATTGTATGCTCCACCATGATCCCCAGCGCAGCGTACGCATAGCTTAGCTCTAGCTCAGAGCTTAGAGCGGGGTATTATTAAAAAGCAAATTTTCATTTTACTTTTGCCTTGGATTTAGGTCTGTTTTGACTTTTGGATTTTATAATGAAGCCAGGAATTTCAGCTGTCTGATGTATACTCGTCTCTAGACCCACTGTATAGATTTTATTTTTAATCAAGGCAATGAATCCCGTTGACTTTTTGGTAAGCCTGCAAGGTCTTAGTCTAGAACCAACATAGCTCTAGATCTAGATCGAACTCTCGTAGACTCTAACTTAAGATCTAAAGTTTCATTTGTTGCTATTTGTGTCGCTATTTTATAAAACAAATAACGCATGTCCCAGAGTGCAATAGCGGTGATCGCAGTACACGCGAGGTTTCTTTAGATTGGTGCCGCTCTGTGAACGAGCCGCTTGCAGTGCGTTTACAGTGCGCACCATCTGAAGAAACCGAGCGCTTTTAGATTTGTTTTATGACAATTACAAACCTACCAACCTTCCACAGCAATCTCCTAAGCCAAAAAAAGGAATACAGTGTGTTTTAAATGCTTTACTACAGATGTGAAAGGAATATAAGGTTCCTAACACTAGTCAGAAAACGTAGGGAATCGTTCCTCCATAATATAAACAGTTGGCAGCTATTCAGGTAACATACTGTACTTCTCATTGACATTAAAGATAACATCTATCAGAATACCACACAAGGCTTAATTAAACCTCTCTTGGCTCCAGAATAATGTTTGACTGTGCCTTGTGATAGGTACTCACTGACCTTGTATTCTGGGTTGTTGATCATTGGTGGTTCCCATTCTCCATCCATCTCATCATCCCAATCCTCTGGCTTCTCTGCGTCAGGGTCGGCAATGAATTCGGCCACTTCCCAATCCTACACAAAATTAAAAATATATATATATATTGGCGATCTTTATGTAGAGGTGTTGTTGTGGGTTGTACAACACATGCATCAGGGATGATTATTCCATAGTCAATAAACAAATTCTCATCTTCAACTCTGGTCTAAATGTTATACCTAAACCTAATCCTACCCCTATATCTATATAACAAAGTAAGGCCAGGAACGTCACAGTCAATTGTAAAATCAAACATACAACATTGCATGGGTATTATCCAAGATCCAGTGATAATTGCTCCACATTAAATGTCCTACACTTATTGATTTCTCAACTTTATCTAATGCTAACCTAAATCCCAATCGCAACCTTAATTCAGGGCTAGACAGGAGCCCGATGTACATGGTGCCCCTAATCCAAACTCCAGACCCCCACAATTTCAATATTCCAAACTGGGCCCTCTTTCATACAACTGCCACACATCTATGACAAATGTACTCACAGTCAATCAAATACCACACTATATCAGTAGCTTTTAACAGTTATTGTCACTTGTTATCGATAATAACTTTTATGAAACAGGGCCACGGCCCCATACAAACAAGCCTTTACACATTTCAATCTGGACCCCTATGAAAGAGAGGAGCTCATATCCCAAAAGAAAACATCAGCGGCCCATTTCACAAAGCCTTTTTTCAATGACAAATGACAAAAATCAGTAACAAATCTGCTGATAACCACTCAGAAGCAAGGATTTCGATAGCTTATAAAATAAACTGTCATTTGTTACTGATGACAAGTTTTGTGAAATGGGGCCCAGGTCATTGATACAGCATTGCCTCTCCAGAACAAGCAACCCCCTGAACCTACCTCTGGTTTGGTGTCTTCTGGATCGTCGATCCTCTCGTTGTCGTCCCAGTCCTCTGGCTTCTTAGCTTCAGGATCCCTGATCATCTTGGATGGAAGGAAGTCCCAGTCCTCCTCCAGGTTGCCGGCTTGAGCCTTCTCGTTGTCGATGCGGACCTCATACGAGTTGTCAGATTTGACGATCAGGGTGTAGAGATGGGTGAATTCATCATCCTGTAGTGAAAGATGAAGAAGGACATTCACTTATGATTAAAGTTCTTCTCGTCATTAAAGGTAAAGACCAGTTTTGAAAATGCCCCCCTCTCAAAAAATTAAGTTTTGGTATGGGGTCATGAATTTGGTTCAAATGAACATATTGGAAGCATATGTGATCCTACAATATTCAGTGATCGTTTCCACGGTTGAAATCGAGTTTAAAGTTATGAAATTCTAAATAATAAACTTTTTATGTTGTATAGCTCCCTCTCAAGGTCAATATATTAATTAAGCTATAAACAATGATTCTTGACTGAAATTGACCAATTAGCTATTCCCGTTTGGAAATTATATATCACAACTACATATTCTGAGATTTTCATGGTCGCAGCCACCATTGTACTGCCGTAGGCACTATTTGAAATTTATCAAAATTTACCGGGAGCACCGGTACATTTTTATATTCAACTTTTCTCGAAAGCAGAAGTGTTTTAGGGGCTAAATTTTCTAGTGCTTTTAATACATAGACAGGGGCATCCAAATATATAAAAATTGTAAAGAATCTCTATCTACCAAATTTAAAATCCCCCAAAACTTTGTTTTACCTTTAAGTGTATACTTTTTTAACGCTCTATTGACTTTCAGCATAATCTGTGACCAACTAACACTATGAACATGACTGACAAAGAAAGCGGACAAAATATACAGTTCCTCAGGTAGATAAAGGAACATTCCTTCACTGCTATTATGTAAAAATGTGTAGAACAGGTGACACCTGTTCTACACATTTTTACATAATAGCAGTGAAGGGATGATCCTTTGTCTACCTGAGGAACTGTATACTTTGTGCGCTTTCTTTGTCCATCAAGTTCATAGTGTAATGCAACATGAAATGTCATTGAGAGCCAGAAGGGCGTTAGTTAAGGGTTAAGTGTCCTTTGTGCTCCCAGCATTAATGAACGTCTGAGCTGAAGGTATACTGACCTTGCATCGGATGTCCTTCTTGATGAGAAGGTTCTTGCCCTTGTAGTTGAAGATCACATGAACTTTCTTAGTGCCGGGTCCACAGATATCAGGCCCTGTTTATTCAAGAGAACAAAACACAAATATTAGTCAAACACAGTCAATAATTTGTCAAGTTGTGAACTATTTGAAAATGCGTCGCTGTAATCGATTTAACAAGGATAGCAGTACTACTCTCCAGTGACATCCTGTTTCAATGAAATGAAAATGATACATAAAATATGATACATATCAATATGATACATATCAATATGTTCTGTATTAAACATTTTGCTTTATATGTTCATAATTATTCAGGGCCCCATGGAAGACCACTTCTTATTGGTGAATGGGCTACCCAAATAAAAGATTAGAAATAAATAAATAAATAAAAATATGTCCATCATTAGGAACAAAGTTTAAGAGAAAAATTGCTTCCGTTTGTTCATTCATAACAAATCTATTAAGAATTGGCTCTGTAATAAGTGCTAAAAAATATATAAATTGAGCTACTGTAATGTTGCCCAAGTACAAGCTGGATTCCTGAAAGCCTATGACTGCTATTGAGGATGTACTGCAGATGAGGAAATTGGAGATTACCAAGATGTGATTTCCTGCCTAAGGTTACTGTAGCCCCCACCCCAACCTCATCTTTCTTTCCACTTAACCGACCAGGAACCAGTAAAAAGTCCATGAGGAAGGACCAGATAAATTTTCAGGCCACAGGTAAAAGCTCTACCAGTCAGCTGCATTTCTCTTTCTTCTGTTAGGTCTGGGACATTGCTCTTATGTAATTCCTTTGATATTTCCTTATGTTACCCAGATTCAAGAATTAATTGATGTAAAAGTCTACAGACAACACAATTGAACCCAATAGTAAGTTAATCTTGACAACTGGACATTAACCTAACATACAGCGCATTCCTAGTCATAAGCTTACACTCCAAATGTAGCATCAGAAACTTGTGTGTGCACAAACTGTAAACAAACTTTGCTAGGGAATAAGATTCGGGACAGTTTCATTGCATAACATGATCAAATCACAAGCGACACAGCACGGAATACTTCAAAATTGTTCCAAGTATCATTACAAATGATTCTGGGTTTACAATTTGTCTTTAAGGCAAAAGTCCGAGCACAGAAAACGAGCTGAATTGGAGATTAGCATAATTAAGCATAAACAGATGTTATCAGAAAGCATTTTTCTCAGCAGGATTTGCTCAGCCCCGAAAGATGGTTTGGTTAATGCCATTTCATCATTACACATCTGTTAGACACCAAATAAAGGATATGTTAATAACCAACCAATCTAAATCAACATATTGGTGAGAGCCACGAGGCATTATCTCATCAGTGTCCTGCCCTGAAGTAACCTTATTTTTTTGTAATTCACAAATTATTCTGGGTTTACAATATGTCACCACGGCAAAAGTCAGAGCAGAAAACGAAATGCTGAATTGGCCTTACCAAACATGATGTTGTAAGGAGAATCGCCATGCATATCTTCCTGGTCCAAGTCGGCAGGGAAGATCTTGGCGTAGCCACCTCCGCAGTCTATCTTCTGCTCGTGCTTCACGGTGAACTGAATGACGAGATCCTTGCCCTCATTGCTGAAGTCTGTGAACTTTGCAGAGAGGCCGTAGAACTTTGCATCCTGGCTGGTCTGGATACCTGCAGATTGATTAAAGATAAGGGTGACTTCTTGGCATGCGGTAATATCGTGAATAAAATTGTCTGGAAACAACTTTGAATGGGCGATGTGTAGAACACATGAATCAGTGTTTACGGTGAGGATTTGGAATCATTAATTAGAATGACAATTTTTATGACTGAAAATTGCACGCCCTTATTATGTGTGTGTACCATCAAAACTAGGTCCAGTTAAAAATGAACAAGAATCACTTTACACTAATTTACAAATGAAATATAATCATCTGTGGTCAAGATTAGCATTATTTAGCATACCGGTAAACAGATGTTATCAGAAAGCATTTTTCTCAGCAGGATTTGCTCAGCCCCGAAAGATGGTTTGGTTAATGCCATTTCATCATTACACATCTATTGAACACAACATTTAGACTATGTTAATGATTAACCAATGTAAATTAACATATTGATGAGAGAAAAAAAGCAGTGTTTTTGTTTTAAGTGTGAAAGGCCCTATGCATATTGACTTAGCTCTGCCTCTGTATCATAAGATACAGAAATGAGATGTGTATTACATTTTACATCATGAAAAAACGCTTTGATGTTGCAGCATCATGTTTGAACAAGGCCTTAGGCTTACCCTTATCCTGCTCAGCATCTCCATAGAATTTTCCAGCGCTCCACTTGAACTTGCCAGCATCACTGCCTTTGTGTACAGACTCTACCCAGCGAGATTCCCAACTAGCTGCAAGAGAAAAGGATGGAAAAACAAAATGAATTAATACTTAATAGCACTTTAGATTTATAATTGACAAATCTGAACAATTAAAGAGCATTTTTTAGAAGGGGGAAGCTGAAAAGTCAGAGCTAGTGCACATTGTCACTTCACTGGTACAGTTGTAGTGTGAAATACCGACATCTACCTTCCCCATGCTATCCATAGTAGGGGCCCTAGTTCGAGATTAAGGATCGTCCGCATTTTCGTGGACGTCTTTTTTTCTTTGACGCTCTGCGGGTGTAGGGTTACCGATCCATGCTAGCAATGCTAAAAACGTCCTTAGGATTAATCATTCATAACATGAAAGTCTCTGTGCTGCATTAGTGATACATCATCATGGAGCATCATCGCGGAATCTGTTTTTTTCGCATTGCCAGGAGCGGATCGATAATATAAGGAACGTCCGCAAAAATGCGGACGATCCTTTTTTTTAGGACGCGATTGGTACGAGTTTACAAAGATATCCTCATTAATGTGGAAGATCCTGACCAGCACCCCTACTGATACACAGAATGACCTTGCACTACGCACAAGGCCAAGGGGCAGATTAACTACTTAAACTAGCCGATTTTTCGAAGATTCAAGCTAAAATTTTGCCCTCAATTTTCTTAAATCCAGAGACCAGACAGGTCACCACTGCAAAGCAAACTTTTTAACTTTAACTTATTCTAGATCTAGACTACTAACAGTTAGTACAAGTGCCACAAGAACAGACAAACACACACACGATTTCGCTCGATATCAATTTAGATCTATCATCACTTCACTTCATTCAGTACAACTTGTCATCTAGATCTAGATCTACATCAGTCCGGCACTCAGCAGACACACGCTACGGAACAGTACGGGAGTGGGATGGGCAACTCCCCGAAGATCCAGGGCAAGAACTTACCGTCGGCGAATTGGTCCTCGAAATATACTTCTGCATTCGTAAATGCAACAAGCATCAAGCACAAGCAGGCTAAAATTGTCCTCATTTTGAAGCTGTAATAGTATTATATCAATAGCTATGATATGACTGTGTGCCGCTGGAAAGGAACAGAGAAAATGAGACGATTTCAGGGTGATTCGCACCTCTCTCGGCAATGTGTTTTGATGGTAGACGTACACGTGAAACTGTGGCCAAATGTCGAGCTGTGATTGGTTAACTGGAGAGGAGGGTCAAGTATTGGCCAATCACAGCGGACCACGCAGCGACGATAGTTCGTGACCCAGATGCGGAAGTCAATCATCAATCCAATGAAATCACTACAGCACGTATGACATGTGGCAGAATCATAGAGCAGATAAGACAGATAAAGCTTTTTTTTAATTTCATGCCACTAGTAAAATTATGGATTCCTCGGCGACAGAAATAGCACTATTTCTGACACCTCGATCCATAATTTCAACTAGAGCCTATCAATGCATAGTTTACAGAAGTGAAATACCGTATACATTTGTTTTGCAATTGTAGAAAAGTGACTTCATTGTGGAAAAAAGCTGTCTGAAATAATCATTTTAATCAGTATTCTTATGTTTACAATTTTATATTGTTAGATGTAGGTTCCAACAGTGTAAATGTAGAATACAGCCTTTTAAATGTCTTAGCAGGATAGCATTTCAAGAAAGAAGCTGGTTGATCCATAGTATTTTGTATTTAGGTAAAATACTATGTGGTTATTGTTCGCAAATTCGTATGCAGTCTAAGTAGATCGAAGATAGTAGATAAGATATTTATTCGTCTACAATTCAAAACAAATTATGGCAATGATAAAAGCAAAGTGAACTAAAAGCTAGTAGTATATGTTTCATACTTTGTATGAGAGCTGTGTTTGTTTACAGGTTGTTATATATACCATTGCTAGTTTTTAGCGTTTGAATTTGTTAACGTTTGGCAAACTGATGTTTGAACAATAGTTTAACGATTTCCTAACAAAAACAGAAATTATCAGTACCGGAACCACGCACTTTATTCAAGTGAATTAAATTGAAAATACGGCAAATCAAATTTTAATAATTTCTGAGTATACCCTTGGACCTACTACATGGTATACCGCTACTTTTCATCGACCGTCTCTCTCTCTCTCTCTCTCTCTCTCTCTCTCTCTCTCTCTCTCTCTCTCTTTCTATCTTTAGTTTGAACTCTCCATGTTTGGAATATTGTTCACATTTCCCCTGGACATTTCCGTGCTGTTTTGTTGCTTGAGTACGTTCTCTTTAGTTCAGTGTTTGTTTGTTTTGTTCACTGGGTTTTTCTTTCTTTTTTTCTTCACCAAATTTAACCTACTAAAACGCATTGGGGCATTGTTCTATATATCGCTTAATACTGTTTAATTATATTTTTTTTTTCTATATGGTTTCCTAATTTTGATTTCTTTTGGTAGGCCTATGTATGCTCTATGGAATTTGGTTTAATTCGTCGGCTACATCGTGTGCGGGAACCAAGAGGCCCGGGGCCGGGCCCCCTCCCCTGGGAAAAAAAATACAGTTAATAACACGATAATTTTACCCTTTTTTGGAGATGGGCCCCCTCCTCTGGCGCTCAAGGGGGGTGTGATTTTTCAAATTTTCGAGAGCCAAAAAAAAAAGTTAGTGCTCACTACAGGCACCCCCCCCCCTCCCCCCTCCTGCTTATTCACCGGCTGGCTGTTTCGCCGGCTAAATATTCTCTCACGAATTGGGCCCTCTCTTTGGCCCCCTCCCCTGCCGCCGGCTGGATCCGCCTCTGAGCGGTATGATGATTTACAGCTATGGCGCCATGCATATCCCTGTGTGCGTGTTTTTGTTTTTGTTTTGTTTTAATCAAAGGCGCATGGATCGAGGCTCTTCAATGAAGTCGGTATATAATTCATGAAAGTTTGTTTGGTGAAAATGGGTAAGAAGAACAGCGCCAGCGGCAGCTGTGTAATTAGCCAAAGATTTTGAGCCAAGGAATGCAATGCATACACACGTTGAGTCTTAATCAGATGAATGGGGAGCGGGGGGGGGGGCTTTGCATTCTCCTATATACACAAAATTACATTTATGCTGACGCTCTTATAGATCAATCCATGTCTTCGAGAAAGAAAGAAAAAAAAATCATCTTCAAGTTAGCAACTTTGGCACTTTTGATCACTAGGCATTTCAAATATTCTCCACGCTCTCATGACGATAGCTATAGGTAGCGTCCGAACCATCATTTAGATTTGTTTTCCTTCCAATTTTGGTGGGCAACATCACTGGCGTACCTATGGGGGGGGGCAGGGGGGCAGAGTGCCCCCCCCCCCCTGACGGGCTCCAGGGGGAAAAAAGAAAAAGGGGAAAGAAAAGAAAAGAAAGGGAAAGGAAAGAAAAAGAAAAAAGGAAAAGGAAAGAAAAAAGGAAAGAAAGAGAAAAAAGGAAAAAAAGGAAAGAAAAAAAGGAAGAAGAAGAGAAAAGGAAGAAAAAGGGAAAAGAAAAGGAAAGGAATAAAAATGGGGAAAAAAAATAAAGAACATGGCCGTAAGCACCGGGGGGGGGGGGCAGTTGACCCCAGATATTTTGAAATCGTACAGTTTTTTTCCTGAAAATGTAGTGTAGCCCTATACCAAATCCTTCAATTCTACTTTTGAAAATGCAAAAATTACCCTCATGACCAGTTCAGTCGCTCGAACTCCCTTCACTCCTTTTGCTTTTGAGATTCTTCGAAAACTTTTAACGCATTTTTCTCCCTTCCCCCATCAGAAAAATATTCCGCATACGGCCCTGAAAAATTAAAACAAATGAAAATAGGAAAATATAAGTGATATAACTAATTTGAAACTCTTCGCTGGCGCGAACTGCTTGCTAGCCTATTTTGTATTAAATGTTTTCACTTCCTCGTCCCCCTGAAAAAAGAAAAGGATTAGTATTGCCTAGAATACAATTGTGCCTGCCCCGACGGGCCCCGACCTGCAACCATGGCAACAATAACACACAATATTATATATGTACCAAATGTTACTAAAAGAGACTAATTCATTTTTCTCGCTCGCAAATAAAATGAATAGACATTGCTTTGGAAACAATTGTGCCCACCCTTGACCTGCAACAATATCATTAAAAATGGAAGAGTTTTTTCGCCCTCTCGCCAAAAAGGAATTGAATCGCGTTAAACGCGATTGCGTCCATCCTGACCTGCACCAATAAAAACAAGTTTATTTATTAATTTCTATTAAAAGAGAATTTATTTTTTTTGCTTGCTCGCTATGCTCGCTCGCCAAAATGGAATTGACACCGCTAACGTGCCCGCCCCAACCTGCAACAACCAGTTAATAATTATGTACGAAAAGTTATTCAAAGAAGTTTTGGTGTGCTCGTGCTCGCCAAAACGGAATTAACATCACCTTAGACATGATTGTGTAAGCCCTGCCCTGCAACAAAAAAATCTGAAATTTATGAACCAATTACCATTACAAAAATTTTGCTCGCTCGCTACGCTCGCTCGCCAAAATAGAAATAACACCGCTTTTAATAATCACGTCCCTGACATGGAACAATTAAACCAAGTTTATATACCATATTTTCCCTATAAAAAGAAGTGATTTTTTTTTTCTCGCTCGCTACGCTCGCTCTCCAAAATATAATTAACACCGCTTTTAATAATCACATCCCTGACATGGAACAATGAACCCAAGTTTTATGTACCATATTTTCCCTATAAAAGAAAAGTGATTTTTTTTTTCGCTCGCTACGCTCGCTAGCTCGTGGAATTATGTGCCCACCACTAACCTGCTACAATATCATTAAAAAGAGAAATGTAGGGGGTTGCCTGCCCGCCAAAATGGGATTGACATTTAAACACGATTGTGCCCGCCCCCTATACCTGCAACAATGAAACAAATTTTATATAGCAATTCATTGAGAGAAAGATGTATTTTCGCTCGCTAGCTAAAATGGGTATAAAATCACCCTAAACACAATATTGTTCCCGCGCCCTGCATGGGACAATTATTGAACCAAGTTTAAGTGGCAATTATTAAAAAAGAAGTGATTTTTTTCTTGCTCGCTACACTAGTTTGCAAAAAAATGAAATTAACGTCGCTAACAATTGAATGTTCCCACCCCCCAACTTGCAACAATACCAGTTTATATACCAAACGTTACTTCAAGATTTTTTTTTGCTCGCTCGCTCGCTCGCCAGAAGTGAAAATTAGCATCGCCTTTTTTGTTTGTTTCGGTCGCTTGCCCCCCTGACGGAGTACCCCAGGTACGCCACTGGGCAACATCACTCCAATTATATAATTTCTCTTTTTTTTAAGGCAGATTTTGTTTTTCTCCCAATATGACTGGTTATACGCACCCGCATCCAGAAAAGGCGTCGAAATAGTGTCTTTTTCAGCTGTATATACGGCATGGTCGGCGTTTTCCTTTAATAAAAGAGGTGTTTTTCAAGCACTGATCGCACAAAAACACAAAAAAAGAGTCCATTTCCATTTCAGATAAATTATGTTTATACTGTACAAAAAAAAATCCTTTTTATACTGTTGTATCCAAATATATTATTATGAAGAATTACCGTCACCTTTAACTTTTTTCTATATCGAAAAATCTATTTTTTTCTCCCAAATTACAGAATTGTATCACAATTTGTATACTTGATTGAATATATTAGTTTGGATACTTATGAAAAATATTTTAAAGATAAGTGTCTGTGTTTAAAATGTATGAGAAAATGTACTATGATTATATTGTAAGAATAATTATGTTCCTCTTCATCATTTTGCATATGAAATAAGACCAAAAAAAAATTCTTTTTTAAATCTTCGGCTGGCAGCGAGCCGGTAAGTAGGGGGAGGTCGGTGACACGACATTTGCTCCTGCGACAATTCTCGCTACCCTAAATAGGTACGAAAATCTCGAAATTCGCGAGACGAGGTAATTTTCACTCTCTCGGGTCGTCACTACAACTTCCGGTATAGAGTCCCATCCCGCTGGCGCTAGCGCCTGTGTTCGCTGTGCAGAGTTTTCACGCACGCTAAAATCGATGCCAATCAGTGTAATTTGTACAGATTATAATATGCAATGGAAAGCTTCGGGCAGAATTAGTGACTTTAGCACAAAAGGCCGTTAAACTATACCGTGAAAGAGAGGGTTGTGATCACGAACGCCTGCAC